AAAAACATCGATGTGGGAGAGAGACATTGATTGGTTGCCTCTTGCAAGACTTCCACCAGGGCTGGGGAATCAAACCTGCAACCCAGGTGCCCTTGACCAGGAATTGAACCCGCAACCCTTTGGCTGATGCTCTACTGCTGAGCCAAACAGGCCAGGACACATCTCATTATTTTTATTTATTTATTTATTTTTATTTTTTTATCCTCGCCCGAGGACATTTTTTCATTTTTTGTTCAGATAGAGTGAGAGGGAGAGAGGAAGAGAGAGAGAGAGAGAAACATCGATGTGAAAGGTACGTATCAAGTGGCTGCCACCCGCACGACCCAACCAGGGCCGGGGACAAACTGCAACTGAGATACGTGCCCTTAGCGGGAACCGAACCCAGGTCTCTCTGGACTGCAGGCCGACGCTCTTAAGCGCTGAGCCAAACCAGGGCTCTCATCATTTTTAAAGTGATGGTAAATGACGCAGTTGCCATTTCTGTCTCCATCTGCTCGCCAGTGGCACCAGCCAGGACTTCTGTGTGGCGCTGGCAGGAGTGGTGAGAACAGGCACCCGGCCTTGCTCCCGTGTCGGGGAAGGCGCCCTATCTCCATCGAGTAGGGTGTCAGCTGTAGGTTTTGTAGATGTTGTTTACCAGTTCAGGACGTTTCTGTATTCCTATTAGCTGGGTTTTTGTTTTGTTTCTTAATGTTTTTATTGATCATTTGGAAAGAGGAAGGGAGAAAGAAACATCGATTGGTTGCCTCCTGCACGCCCTCCACTGGGGATCAAACCTTTAACCCTACAACCTGGGCATGTGCCCTGACCAGGAACCGAACTAGGACCTCTCAGCCCATGGGACTGATGATCAGTCCACTGAGCCACACCTGCCAGGCAGCTGGAAATTTTCACCGTAAATGGTCATCGCTTTGTGCACCGTCGATGTAATCTGGTAGTCTTTCTTGTCCTGCTGATGTGATGCGTTCCGTCGGCGGAGGGCCTTGCGTTCCCAGGACAAACTCCTTTGGTGATCAATGGACTCTCTAACATACGTTATGTTGGAGTCCAGGCTACTTTGGGTGGCACAGAACAGGCATGGAGGGTTGGTGTGGCACAGGGAGCTTTGAGCTGCTGCGCACTTACCTGCTTAGCTGTAGAGTGGACTCTGGCTCTTGCTCAGGTACAGTGCAACGGTTATTGGAAAGTGCTTCTGGGGAGAGACCCCTGCGTTGCCTGTTAGGTGCAAGTTGTGGGGTGGGGTGGCTGTCCTTTGTGCATGAAGGGAACTCTCAACAGTACTGCTTTGTACACGGCTGAGTTACCGTGACTTCTTAACTCATACACACTTAGAAATTAAACTTTGAGCACTGGCTACAGACTTAACTCCCTTCAGCCACTTAAATGAGAATTACATAGAATGAATCATTCCTTTGAATCTGTTACCCATAATATCAAACAAAATACATAAAAATCTAATGATTGTAAAATTATTACAATCGTTTTGAAAATTTCAGCATCAAGATTTTTTTGTTTCTTTTTTCTTGTGGTACGTGCCCCTAGCGGGAACTGAACCCAGGACTCTCTGGTCCGCAGGCTAACGCTCAATCGCCAAGCCAAACTGGCCAGGGCAGCATCAAGGGTTTAATTCATTCATTTTTCTTATCTTCTCAGGATTATAGTAACCTTACCAGATAGTTATTTCTGCATCTTCTTGGAATGATAGAGTTTTCCACATCCTTCTAGGATTACAGCCTCCCCTGCCCGGCTCAGACCAGGTTCGGTGTGACGGTCAACGCTTAGGATCACGAGTGTCCCCGAGTGACTGCAGTTGTGAGCCCCATGCTTTCGCATTTTATCAGTATTGTGTCCTGAGCTTTCTTACTTCAATGGGGCTTTTCGAGGCGTGCCTTCCTTATATGTGGATTTTAGCTTCATGTACCTGGTGCAGTGCCCTGAGTGTATTCCTCAGGGTTTGATGGGCCCGAGTTTCGGAGGGGATAAGTCAGGCATTGTTTCCATAGGTGGAGGAGTTGAGTCTAAAGGTCCTCTCTCCTCCCAGGACCCTGGGCCAGCTCATGCCTGAGGCCCCTCTGTTGGGGCTCCCTGTTCTGTCTGCTGTGGTTGTGAGCAGGGGCCCAGGCGTGTTGGCCCAGGTGCCAGCTGTGCCCCGGGGCTTGTCCCCTAGATGCTGCCTCACAGCTCCTAGTGAGGGTGAGTTGGGCAAAGGCAGCTGAGTGGGGGACAGGGCCTGGCGGGCGGGAGGTGCTCCTGCTGCTCCATGGCCTCCTGGCCGGGCAGGCTCGCCTGGTTCGCATCCCTGCCCCAAGTCCTGACTCTCGGGGAGGAGACCTCAGGACAGCATGGCCTGCTGAGTGGGAAGGAAACATCTCTGGTCGTGTCTGTCCTGTTTCTGTCACAGGTAGTGTTTTTTCCTTTAAATACGTTTTTATTGATTTTAGAGAGGGAAAGGGATAGAAACATCCACCAGCTGCCTCCTGCACGCCCGCCTGTCTTAGAGCTGCAGGACTCACACGTCTGTCAGCTGTGTCCCTGAGTGTTTCATGTGTGTTTACTGATTTCTTTTTTAAAGAAGAGAGGAAGGGAGCCCTGGCCGGTTTGGCTCAGTGGTTAGAGCGTCAGCCTGCGGTCCAGAGAGACCCGGGTTCGGTTCCCGCTAAGGACATGTACCTCAGTTGCAGTTTGTCCCCGGCCCTGGTTGGGTCGTGTGGGTGGTAGCCACTTGATATGTCCCTTTCACGTCGATGTTTCTCTCTCTCTCTTCCTCTCTCTCCCTCCCACTCTATCTGAACAAAGAATGGAAAAAATGTCCTTGAGTGAGGATAAAATAAAAAGAGGAAGGGAAAGGGAGAGAGAGACACGGATGTCTATCTGATTGGCTGCCTCCTACATGCTCCCTACTGGGGATTGAACCTGAAAGGTCACGTGCCCTGACCAGGAATTGAACTGGTGACCTGGTGCTCAGTCCACTGAGCCATACCGGCCAGTTTTTTTGTTGTTGTTGTTCTTTATTGATTTTAGAGAGAGAAGAAGGGAGAGGAAGAGAGAGATGGAAACATCGATGAGAGAGAACATTGACTGGCTGCCTCCTGCATGCCCCCCACTGGGGATCAGGCCCACAACTGGGCATGTGCCCCGATTGTGGTCGACGCTCAACCACTGAGCCCCACCAGCTGGGCCCAGCGAGTTTCTTATTGTTCGTTACTGGTACACTGAAATACCATTGATTTTTATGTGTTGAATTTGTCTCCTGCAACCTTGCTATCAAACTCATCTGTTGGATGGAGTCACTTTTTTATAGATTCCTTGTGATTTTCTACGCAGAAGAGCATGGCATCTGCACGGGCAGTTGTGCCTGCTCCTTCCATCTTCTTATTTCTGCGTCATGGAGCCTCCAGCCTTGAGTCAGAGCCGACATGCTCTGCAGGGTCTGGTTGTCACTCCTTTCTTCATCCACGTGGATAAAGCATCTGTGTTTCTCCAGCTCAGGAGGCTGCTGACCCACTGGGTCAGTGTTGGTCTCCAGGGGCTTTGGGGCTTCTTACGCCTCTGCATCTGGTTGGGCTTCTCAGGTGACTGTGAAGTGCAGGGGGTGTGGTGCAGTCAGGCATCCCGTCACCTTTGACCTCACCATGGAGGCCCAGGCTTGTCTGGAGTTCCGAACTTCCCCCGCCCTTCTCCCCACCACCCCACATTCACCCTCCCTGGTCTGCCAGCTCGGCCTCCCTCAGGAGGTCGGAGGCTGTGTCTGCTGCTGGAGAAAGAGCACTTCACTGCGTGTCGTGACCTCGCCTCGCTGCTTGTCCACGTGAAGTGGACGTGTGGCAGCCACCCTGCCGGTTCAGCCGGGCCTGTGGGTCTTCCTCAGGGGACCAGGGAGGGCTGTCCTTTTGACCCCTGCTTCCTGAGCAGGACACTCTCGGGGTGCTGCCTGAGCTGCAGTGCTGGGCGGGGGGTGTTCATCTCTCTCCCCCTCCCAGTCAGGAGTTTGCTTAGAAAGTTACTTTTTGATCCAAGTTTTCCATTTAGTGTAGTTCTTTTAATCCCTTTATCAAACTGGTTTATTATGGTTTTGTTCCAAACTCTGTTCTTTTTCAATTTTTCTGTGTATTGATTTCTGCCTTTATTTTTATCACCTCTTGTGCCCTTATAATAAGGCTTATTTTATTCCTTTTCTAGCTTTATTGAGTAAATCTTTGCTCATCACTCATCATCCTTTAGAATCTCAGCATGGCCAGCAGCGGGCGCCAGCTCTGGTTTCTTGTGACCCTGCCCCTGTCCTTCTCTGCAGTGCTGGTGCTCCTGTCCACTTCAGCGCCAAGTGGGTTGGAAGACAGGCCCGTGTTCCCAGGGCGGAGGGTTGTTGGCTTCTGCCCTGCTCACTGGCTTTATTGTATTGTGGTTGGAAGATAAGGCTCTCTCTACCTTCACTCATTTTTTTTTTTTGGTACGTGCCCCTAGCGGGAACTGAACCCCGGACTCTCGGGTCCGCAGGCTGACGCTCCAACCGCTGAGCCAAACCGGCCAGGGCCCTTCACTCATTTTTGGAAGTTGGTTTTCTTTGGGATTTAAATGGGTCAGTGTGGGTGAGTGTTCACTGGCCCTGGATGGGAAGCACAGGCTCTGTCTGTTTTGCAGGCATGGAGTCCAGTGTGACCTGCTAGCCGCTTGTGTTGATTACATTTGTTCAGCTTTTTTGAAGTGAGAGGTACTTAACACCACACCCAGATCCCCTCGATTAACCGCAGGATCCCTTCCTGGTTCACGAGAGAGATGCCGCCTCACTGACATGCTGGGTTCTGTTCTTTGTGTTTTAACTCCTCTAGATTCGTTAAAAGCACAGGCAGACTCTTGAGCTCGTAAGTGTCTGGGTGGAAGCAGGCTGTCTGCAAAGGCCTCTGGCAAAGCGGACGGCAGCCATTCCCCAGGGGCGGGTGCTTTGTGTGGAGAGGCACAACTTTGTGCGTATTCGTTTACTTGCTTTATTTTATTGAATTAAGGGATCAGCGTTTTTCTGACCGAAGCCCTGGTTCGTCAGTGATGGAGATGGAGCCAGAGAAAGTCATCATGAGGAAGGGGCTGAGTGCGGAAGCGTCCCCCTACCGCTGTGCTGCGTGCCATGGGGACGAGGGCGTGGTGCTGGGCCACCCCATCCGGGGTCGGGCCAAGTCCTGCAGCCTGTCTGCCTTGCCTGCGCTGGCGAGCACCAAGGAGTTCAGGTATGAAGGCCCTCGGTCGCCCTCCGGGGTTTCATGCTGGGCCTAGGAAGACTGTGAGGAGGCTCCCTCGGAGCTCTCCTGGTCTCCGCAGGAGGCTGTGGGCGGGCGGGCACGCCTTCCTGGACACACACTCACTCACACTCACACACACGCACAGCACTGCCCCAGCTACGTCCTCAGTGGTGCCCATGAATGATGGGCCCTGGAGGCGTGTGCTCGCAGCTCCGCACCCAGTCAGGACAGGCAGAAGGCCACAGGCAGCCACAGGGTGGTGGGGCAGGTGTCCCCACCTCCGTCCCTCGGGCAGGCTGCACTGCTCTTGCGCAAGAGTCTGGGTCACAGTGCTCAGAGCTGGTGCGCAGCCTGCCAGACGGACGCGGTGCTGCACCTTTGGATATTGCTCTGGCCTCTGGAGCAGGAAGCACCCAGGCTCCAGTAGGAGCTGCGAGTAAGCATGGCCTTGACATAAGGGTCTTGTGTGAAACGCAAGGGGCGTCCTGAGCAGAGTGCATGGTTGTGTCAGGTGAGGTGGAGAAGCCCACAGCTTTCTGGGTTGAAAGTTCTAGCCCGCATATGTGGGAGGGAGCCTGGGGTCTCTGGCCGGGGGCAGCTTCTCCCTGTGATATTGTCCTGAGTTCCATTGACCCTCCTCGTCCAGGCCGCACAGTGCAATGTGGCTCCCAGCAGCAGGCATTGGGTTTGGTTCTGTTGATTTGTATAACGCACACTTTCTGTTGCAGACGACAGGGAACCTGTTGGGTTGGCAGTCAGTCAAGGGTGCATCTGCTTGTGGGTGTCAGCAGGGGAGGAGGGAGAATGTTCCCAGTCACAGCTAAACACCAACTTAGATGAATCCTCTGCAAACCCATTTCCAAGATCTTTTGTCCCTGAGGCCCAGTGTGGCTCCATGCGTGCCCTGGTCGACAGTGAGGTTCAACCTCCAAGCAGACACCAGGACCCTCAAGGGCCGGCTGCCTGCACCGAAGGATGCCAAGTCTGCTTTGTCTGCGTTGGGATTTGGAGAGTCCTGGAACGCCGAGCTAGGCAGTCAGAGACCAAAGCGAGTTCACCAGCTCTGCTTGGCTGTCCTTGTGGCCGCGTTCTTGGTGCAGGAAAGCAGGTCATTGGCGGCTGGTACTGTGTGTGGGGTAACACGTCCCTCTGCCCTGCCATGTGGTGTGTCCTCCTTGCTTCCCTGGCCCTTGGCTGGGGCTGGCATTAGACCCCCAAGAACAGGAGAGGGAGGGCAGCCAAGGAGCATCCCCAGGACATGGCTGCAGTGCCCTTGGTTTAGGTGGTTTGATTGTGGCCAAGTCTCTTTCCAGTTACTGGGAAGGTGGGCTGCTCCAGTAGCATCTTCTCTACTGACAGTACAGCTCCGAGCGAGTGTTTCTGGCAGAACTTTAGTCTAGGCCACTCGGGGTGGTTTCTGAGATCCTGACTCCCAGACGTAGACCTGAGGACTGTCCTCAGACAGACTTGCCAGGAAGCCCTGCACACACTCAGACCCCAGGCCCGTCCCCACGCCCCAAGGTCATGTCCCCTGTTCTGGGCTGGGTCCTTTTTCTGAGGATTGATTGTTCTAGGTGTGTCTGAGTGTCTCTGATGCTGCCGCTGTGTGGACAGCGTGTGGCATTCAGATGTGCTCTGCAGACCGGCGGCCTCTTCCGGGACCACACTGGACACGTGCTGTCACCAGGACTGCACACTTCTGAGCGTCGGGTGCAACTCTGTGCATCGCCATGCTCTCTCCACAGGAGGACCCGCTCTCTGCACGGGCCATGCCCAGTGACCACCTTTGGACCGAAGGCCTGTGTGCTGCAGAACCCCCAGACCATCATGTGAGTGCTGGGGCCCTCCCCGGGGCCTTTGTCTTGGGGGATTGCTGTACTGTGGGAGGTTTGAGTGCTGGAGTTAGAGGTCCTCAAGTCCTTCCAGGACGTGGCGGGGGGTGGCGGGGCAGGTATGCCTAGGTTTTTTGTTTGTTATTTCCAGTAAAAACTCATAAGAGGAAAAATGCCTTATTTCGTACTCACACATTTGGGGGGTCAAATATGTTCCTCCTTTTCCCTCATTGACCCCCTCCTCCCCACTCTCACCCCTCTCCTGCCTTTCCCTACACTGTTGTCTGTATCCATTGGTTGTGCATATATGCATAAAAGTTCTTTGGTTTATTTCTTCCCACCCCCTCACCCCCCTTCCCTTTGAGGTTTGTCAGTCTAACAACCAGTTTGTACTTCTTAATCCCTTCACCTTTTTCACCCATCCCCCAACCCCCCTCCCATCTGGCAACCAACAAAATGTTCTCTGTATCTATGAGGGTGTTTCTGTTCTGCTTGTTCATTTTGTTTGTAGATTCAGTTGTCAGTAGGTATGTTTATTGGCATTTTGTTTATTCATAATTTTTTTTCTTTATTGATTTTAGAGAGAGGGAAGGGAGAGGGAGAGAGAGATAGAAACATCGAAGAGAGAGAACATTGATTGCCTCCTGCATGCCCCCAACTGGGGATTTGGCCCACAACCTGGGCCTGTGCCCTGACCAGGAATTGAACCGGCGACCTCTTGGTACATGGGTCAATGCTCAACCACTGAGCCACACTGGCTGGGCTGTTTGTTCATATTTTTGATCTTCTTTTTCTTCAAGAAGACCTTTCAACATTTCATATAATAATGATTTGGTGGTGATGAACTCCTTTAGTTTTTTTTTTTTTTTTGTCTGGGAAACTCTTTATATAGGCATTGATTCTAAATCATAGCTTTGCAGGATAGAGTAATCTTGGTTGCAGGTTCTTGCTTTTCATCATTCTGAATATTTCTTGCTACTCCCTTCTGGCCTGCAAAGTTTCTTTTGAGAAATCAGCTGACAGCCTAATGGGAACTCCCTTGTAGGTAACTAACTGCTTTTTTCTTGCTGCTTTTAAGACTCTCTCTTTGTCTTGAACCTTTTACATTTTGATGATGATGTGTCTTGGTGTGGCCCTCTTGGGGTTCATCTTGTTTGGGACTCTCTCTGCTTCCTGGACTTGTATGTCTGTTTCCTACACCAAGTTAGGAAAGTTTTCTGCCATTATTGTTTCAGACAGGTTTTCCATTTCTTGTTCTCTCTCTTCTCCTTCTGGCACCCCCAAGATGTGAATGTTGGCACGCTTGAAGTTGTCCCAGAGGCTTCTTACAGTATCCTCATTTTTTTTTGGATTCTTTTTTCTTTTTGATGTTGTGATTGGGTGTTTTTTGCTTTCTTATATTCCAAATCGATGGTTTGCTTCTTGGCTTTATCTACTCTACTATTGATTCCCTGTAATTTATTCTTTACTTCATTTAGTGCCTCCTTCATTTCCGACTGGTCCTTTTTTATGCTCTTCAGGCCCTCACTAAGTTCTCTGAGGTTCTCACTAAATTCACTGAGCATCCTTATAAGCAGTGTTTTGAACTCAGCATCTGTTAGGTTGCTTATCTCCATTTCGCTTAGTTCTTTTCCTGGAGTTTTGTTCTGTTCTTTCATTTGAGATCTGTTTCTTTGTCTCCTCATTTTGGCTGCCTCCCTGTGTTTGTTTCTATGTATTAGGTAGAGTTGCTATGTCTCCCGGGCTTCCTAGTGTGGCCTATTGTAGTAGGTGTCCTGTAGGGTCCAGTGGCACAGCCTCCCTGGTCTCCCAGCTGGGCTCTCGAAGTGTATCTTTCGTGTGGACTTTACACCCTTCTGCTGTAATTGAGTCTGGATTGCTGTGGGCACATCAATGAGAGGGTTTTACTCAGGCTGATCATCTGCAAGGACTGGCTGTGCCCACTATCCACCGACATCTGTCTACCTTGGAGGATCAGCTGTGCAGAGGCCACCAACAGAGCAAGACTGACTTCAGCAGGGCTCTGGCACCTTGAGAGTGTCACTTGTGGCCCTGGCCAGTTTGGCTCAGCGGTTAGAGCGTTGGCCTGAGGTCCAGAGAGAGTGTCACTTGTGGAGGTGGTTGGGTGGTGGTGTTTCGACATGGTCTGAAGCTGTCCACTGGGTGTGCTGGCTCTGGGGCAAGGTAAGCCACTGCCTGGTGTTCTACCCAGGGCCAACAGGCATTAGCTACAAAGCTGTCTACAGATGGCTGCTTCTTGTGCTGAGCTTGGAGATGCCTTTCAAACTGCCTCCCCCACGCTGGAGCCTGGAGGGTGGGAGTCAGAGTAAGTCTGTGCGCGGGTCCTTTAAGAGGAGCTGCCTGGGGCTCCAGCAGCCTCAGCCTCCCTCAGCCTCAGTTCCTGCTGGTTTTACAGCCAGAAGTTATGTGACTTTTCTTCCTGGCACTGGAACCCTGAGCTTGGGGTCTGGTGTGGGATGGGGATCCCAGTCCTCAGGGAGGACCTTCCCAGCTGAGGTGTCCTCCTGATTTTTATCACCACATGTGCCTGTGGGACCAGCCCGTCCGCCTCCGCCCCTCCTTCCAGTCTCAGCGTGGCTGTTTCTTTAATTTCGTAGTTGTAGGACTTCCATTCAGCTCAATTTCAGATGGTTTTGAATGATGGTTGTCTGTAGTTTAGTTGTAACTTTGATATGGTTGTGGGAGGAGAGGATACTGCAGTTACCTGCGTTCCATCTTGACTAGAAGTCGCCTCCTTTAATTCTTCAAATGCAAGACATTGTCTTTTTTTTGGTGGTGTTAATCCTCACCTGAGGATTTAAAAAAATTTTTTTTTCTTTAATTTTTTTTTCTTTATTGATTTTAGAGAGAGAGGGGAAGGGAGAGAGAAACAAACATCGATGAAAGAGAACATCGATTGGCCGCCTCCTGCAAGCCCCACACTGGGGATCTGGCCTACAACCTGAGCATGTGCCCTGACAGGAATCGAACCAGCGGCCTCCTGGTGCAGGATCGACGCTCACTACTGACCCACACCGGCCAGCGAGGATATTTTTTCTATGAATTTTTAGAGAGGGTGGAAGGGAGGGGTGAAGGGTGGGGAGAGAGAAATGTTGATGTAAGAGAGAGACACAGTGATTGGTTGCCTTCCACACGTGTGTAAGGGCCAGGGATCAAATCTGCAACCCAGCCCTGGCCGGTTTGGCTCAGTGGTTAGAGCGTCGGCCCATGGACCAATGAGTCGCGGGTTCAGTTCCAGTCAAGGGCACGTATCTCAGTTGCAGTTCATCCCCGGCCCTGGTCGGGTCCTGTGGGAGGCAGTGTGAGGCAGTCAGTCGATGTGTCCCTTTCACATCAATGTCTCCTCTCTCTCTCTCTCTCTCTCTCTCCCTCCCTCCCTCCCTCCCTCCTTCTTTCCCGCTTTCCCCCTCCCTCCCTCCCACCTTCCCCTCCTCCCCCTTCCTCCCACTCTATCTGATGATAAAGAGAAAAATAACCTGGGGTGAGGATTAAAAAAATATCAGAATTCCATCTCAGCCGGCACCTGCGGCAATCTTAGCCCCTTCTAGGGTCCTCGACTTCCAGGGGAGCCGAGGGGATATCACGGACACAGGGGAGGGGTTGCGGGCTCTTGAGATTCTGCCACTAACCCCCTAACAGGTCTGAGCATCTGAGGGCCTTTGCCCCAGCCCCACCCACAGTCAGTGTGGGGCGTGGCAGCTGCCTGTGCTGCCCTCAGTTCCGCCTGCAGACGCTGTGGAGGCTGGAGCTGTGGTCCCAGGAGGGGCGGTGCCTCTGCCCCTGCAGGTGTCTGCTGTCTCGTCACGGGTCCCCACCCGCCTCTGCCCCATCCTGTTCACCGTGGGCTCCCCGACACCAGGGCAGCCTGCCCACCCCGGTGCCCCCAGGCCCAAATCCCCATCACCTGCCACTGCTCGCAGCTCTGCCAGGTGGCCAGCTCCTGCCTGCCCTCCACCTGTGCCTCCTGTCTGCTGTGGTCCCAGATGGGTGCTGCCCTGCCCCCACCCCTGCAGAGGCCCCTCCCTTTGTTTCCTGGTCTGGGCAGAGTCCCTCTCCTGTCCTCACATCCTGGCTCACGTGCCCCTGGCTCACGTGCCCCTGGCTCACCCTCCAGCCTGAACTGAGCATCAGCTCACTTTCCGCTGAGCCCATAGTCACCCTTCTTGTGTTTTGTCCTCATGAGCCTCAAGTTGGGGCCCAGGCTGGCCTCTGAGCTGCTCCCCGAGGTCAGGCCGGGTTGTTCAGGGGGTGCCCCGGGCGAGCGGCAGGGGCCCTGGATGTGCCCAGGGCTGCAGGTGGGGGTTGAGGAGTGAGCAGTTGCCTGGCCTGCTGGGCCCTGAGCCCGCACGGTGGTGGGGCTGTCATCTTGGACCAGAGGGGCCAGGGCTCCCTCTCTCCACCTTGCACCCCCAGCACCATGGCCGGGCTCCCAGGGCTGAGTTCTCCGTGACACTCAGAGGGCAGGCGCAGCGCAGAGGCCAACACGGGGCTTCGCGCCCTGCTGTCTGGAACGTCCCGCGGATGCGAGTGCACTTCTCTCACGTGGAGAAGTGCGGAATGGCCAGCGGCTGCCTGGCTGCCCCACTTTCTCATCTGCATCCACAGCTCATGGCTGGAAAGGTCAAACCTCACTTTGCAGGTGACCCGGGAGGAAGCTGAGTGACTGGTTGGCACACAGGCCCCTGCAGGGCACAGCCTAATCTGCTGGGTCTGCTGGGAGGGGTTTCTGTTTTCTCCTCTGCGGGCTGATCAGACTCCCGCTGACCTGGGCAGAGGGCTGTGGGCCCCATACTGCCTCCGTCACCTGAGGTCAAGCAGAGGGACGGTGTTTGGGGTTTGCTAGCTCCTCCCATGGGTCCCAGCCAGTTTCGCAGCCCAGCTCAGGTGCCTCTGCCACTGGGACATGTCACTGCACCCAGGATGCTTGGCAGGGCTCATCCTGACTGCCCTTGCCGGTTTGGGTCAGCAGGTAGAGCGTTGGCCCCCGGACCACAGAGTCTGGGGTGATTCCCAGTCAAGGGCATGTACTTCGGTTGCAGGGTGGACTCCTGCCCCGTCTCTCTCAGTGATGTGTCTCCCGTCAGTGTTTTTCTCCCTCCCTCCCTCCTTCCTTCCTTCCCTCCCTCCCTCTCTCCTTCCCTCCCTCCCTCCCTCCCTCCCTCCCTCCCTCCCTCCCTCCCACTCTGTCTTTAAAAAGGGAAGGTGATCAAGAGGACTGTTTGAAGTGGGTGATCAGCAGGAGGCCCTGTAAACAGTGACATGTGACTCTGCCCTGGTTTTCATTGTAGGAGCCTCCTGACGTATTTGTCTTAACAGCCTCCAGCATGTCACTTCGGGGTTATGCTGTGCTTTCGGTTTTGGGGATCAGAAATCAGGTTTATGGTGCAAATGCACAGTCGGGAAAGGGGGGGCACTGTGTTATGCACCTGTTGTTAGCAAAGCGTGACCCAGATGCTGTGCACAAACCACGAGTCCCTTCCTTGTGAGTTGTGTGCGACCTGGGTGGACGATGAGGTTCCGAGAGGATGTGACGAGTGGCCTCCCCCTTGGCAGAAGTGCCCAGGTGGGTGAGTGATGGTCAGTCAGTACCAGGGCAAGGTCAGTCACCCCACACTTTTATTAGTGGCTTGTGCCATGGTTTTGAAAGTCATTAATGGGCCCGTCAAGTTTTCAGGAAGCCGCTGCCCTGGGAGGCATGTTTCAGCCTGTGCGTCGATGGGTGACCGTGGGAAAGGGAAGCCTGCCGTGTGCCCTCAGTGACTGTTCCCCCACATGCCAGGGTGTGCCAGCCCGTCACATGCTGCTCCCTGGACCTTGTTCTGTGTGCACGTCCCAGCTTGTGCTGGGCTAGCCTGGGACAGGCCTGCAATTTTGTTTTTTTGTTTTTTTAATCCTCACCTGAGGACATTTTTGCATTTATCTTCAGATAGAGAGGGAGGAAGAGAGAGAGAAACATCTGTGTGAGAGAGAGACATCGACTGGCTGCCACCCACACAACCCCAACCGGGCTGGAAACAAACCACAACCAAGGTATATGTCCTTGGCTGGAATTGAACCTGGGACTCTCTGGTCTGCAGGCCGACGCTCTAACCGCTGAGCAACACCAGCCAGGGCCAGTCCTGTGATTTGAACAGTGGTCAGTCACAGTGGGGATCTCTGCCCTGCCCCTCGGCGAGGACCCGTGCACCACAGGCGTGTGCCCCATGTCAGCCCACAGTGCCAGTGACCACATCAGAGCGTCACAGAGACTTGGGGGTTGTCCTCAGGCAGTCCCCACTTGCTTTTTTTTTTTTTTTTTAATTTTAATTTTTATTTATTTATTTTAGAGAGAGAGAAAGGAAGAGGGAGAAAGATAGAAACATCGATGAGAAAGAGCATCGATTGGCTGCCTCCTGCATGCCCCCCAGTGGGGATCGGGCCCACAACCCGGGCATGTGCCATGGCGGGGAATCGAACCGGTGACCTCTTGGTGCATGGGTTGATGCTGAACCACACCCGCCGGGCCCCACTTGCTTTTTAAAAAAATTATTAGTCCTGAGTCCAATTTGGCTCAGTGGTTAGAGTGTCAGCCCACAGACCAGTGTCTCGGGTTCAATTCCTGGTCAAGGGCACATACCTGGGTTGCAGGTTTGATCCCTGGCCCGTGTCTCTCCCACATCATGTTTTTCTCCCTCTCTCTCCTTCCCACTCTAGATAGATAGATGATAGATGATAGATAGATAGATAGATAGATAGATAGATAGATGATCGATAGAGAGAGAGAGAGAGCGCGAGCGAGCCCTGCCAGGGGGTCTGCTTGGCGGAGCCCTGGGGTGTCCCGGTGGGCCTGGCCCAGTTGAGCGCCCCTCTCCCTCCAAGGCACATCCAGGACCCTGCCAGCCAGCGGCTGACGTGGAACAAGCCCCCGAAGAGCGTCCTCGTCATCAAGAAGATCCGGGACGCCAGCCTGCTGCAGCCCTTCAAGGAGCTCTGCGGGTACCTCATAGAGGTGAGCAGCGGGGTGGCCCAGAACCCCTCTGCCCCTCTGCTCAGTCCTTGCCAGCAGGGTCCCACCTCTGGGTCGCCGAGGGGCACGGGCGGCCTGCACGGGGCTCCAGGTGACGGGCTGGTGAAGTTGGGCTCGCTCCGCGGTGGCAGTGGCCGTGCGGTTCGCAGCCCAGACACGGGAGTTGGTTCCCCATCGTCAGGCACTGGAGGCTGGGCTCCGCCTCTGTGGGCTGATGCACCCGTCCGCCCCCAGGAGAGCAACATGATCGTGTACGTGGAGAAGAAGGTTCTGGAAGACCCGGCCATCGCGGGTGACGACAGCTTTGGGCCGGTGAAGAAGAAGTTCTGCACCTTCCGAGAAGGCGAGCCGCCTGGGTCCTGTGCCGTGGGAGCCCCCGCCCCCTCCCACCACGGCCACGTGACCACCTTCCTTGTTCTGCTTTCCAGACTTCGATGACATTTCCAACCAGATCGATTTCATCATCTGTCTAGGGGGCGACGGGACCCTGCTCTATGCCTCCTCGCTCTTCCAGGTGAGACCTCGCACACACCCGCCTTGTCGCACTGCTCCATGCTGCGGGCTGAGCAGTCCGTGGTCCGGCATCTCTGACGGACGGGCACTGCGCCGCCGTCTGCTGTTGGACTCGGGGGCGGGGGGGGGGGGTAGCTGCCCTCAGTCCCAGGCCCACCCCACTCCCGCCTGGAGGCTGCTGGAGCCAGGAAGTGGGCAGGGGTTCTTCACACCACTGTGGGTCTCAGTGGCATCAGCCTGCCCACCGCCCCTGCCCGGCACTGACCCTCCTCTTCCGCCCACAGGGCAGCGTGCCTCCCGTCATGGCATTCCACCTGGGCTCCTTGGGCTTCTTGACGCCCTTCAACTTTGAGAACTTTCAGACCCAGGTCTCTCAGGTGATACAGGGTGAGTCGGGCGCTCCGGGCCCACAGCTCAGCCTTGTCCTCTCCTTGGTTCGGGGGTTGGTGATGTGCAGAAGCGATACTTAGTGTCTCGAGAGTCAGATTTACTGCCTCCCCTTCTTTATTATTATTGTTTTATTTCTTTTTAATCCTCACCCAAGGATGTTTTCCCTTTTTTTCCAGGTAGGGAGGGGGAGAGAGAAACATCAACATGAGAGAGACACGTTGGTTGGCTGCCTCCCGCACCCCCAACCAGGGCTGGAGCAACAGCAGCTGGGGTCCATGCTCTTCCCCAGAATCGAGCCCGCGACTCATTGGTCCGCGGGCCGATGCTAACCGCTGAGCTAAACTGGCCAGGGCTATTTTTCCCCTTTTTTATTTCATTTACTGAGGTGACGCTGGTTCACAAAGTCATGCAGGTCTCAGGTGCACAGCGCGTGTGCTGTGTCCCCGCCCCTCTGCAGCTCAGAGAGGATCTGAGTGCTGATTGGCTCAGACGTCGTCCTGACACTGAGAAGTCTGAGCAGGTCGCGGGTCGAGGGTGTGTTGAGTAGCAGTGGATAGATTTTCACAGAAGACAAGGGTGTTGCTCGCTTTGGGAGAAAAAAGGGGGTCCTTGGTCAAGGGGGGTTCTCTGCTTCCTCTGGGGTGTGACCCACCCGGGTCCCCAGGGAACGCAGCTATTATTCTTCGGAGCCGGCTGAAGGTCAAGGTCGTGAAGGAGCTCAAAGGGAAGAAGATTGCCATCCCCAATGGGGTCAGTGAGAACGGGGTGCTGGCCTCGGACTGGGACCCGGAGGTCGGGAAGCAGGTCATGCAGCACCAGGTCTGTGGACACGTGCAGGGTGGGGGGACTTCGGTCGGACCCCACGGGCAGCCCCCTCAGGACCTTCAGGGCAGCCCAGAGAGAAGGTGCCTGTGGGCAGACCCACGGGCGGGGCTGCTCCGCCCTCAGTGTGCCCTGGCCTCGCCGCCCCCAGGTCTTGAATGAGGTGGTGATTGACAGAGGCCCCTCCTCCTACCTGTCCAACGTGGACGTCTACCTGGACGGGCACCTCATCACCACGGTGCAGGGTGATGGTATGTGGGCGTTGGGTCTGTCGTGGGCACCCTGGGGGTTCCACAGGGTGGGGGCGCATGGAGACCGACCCTGCGGCCTGCTCCTCAGGTGTGATCGTCTCCACCCCGACGGGCAGCACAGCATACGCAGCGGCTGCCGGGGCCTCCATGATCCACCCCAACGTGCCGGCCATCATGATCACGCCCATCTGCCCCCACTCGCTGTCTTTCCGGCCCATTGTGGTCCCTGCAGGAGTCGAGCTCAAGGTCTGAGCCCACTCTCTCCACCTGTTCCAGTTTGTGTCAATGCCTGGGGCTCGTGGTACCGACCCCTGGTTCTGGCCCAAGGCCGCCTTGTCCCCTGGCACCCTAGGCTGCAGGCCCCACCTTGCTCAGGGCTGGGAAGGGCCTCCCTCCCCTCCTCATCTCTGTCCGCTGGGCTCCTGTGGCCTCGGGTGTGGGGCCAGCCCCTTGTTGGAGCGCTCTGTCCCTGCTGCGTGGGGACGGGGTGCGTGGCCCCAGGGGTGGATGACCCCTGGCAGGCGGGGCTGCATCTGCATGGAGCTAGGAGCTGGAGCCGGACGCCTGGGCCTGGGCCTGGGCCTGGGCCTGGGCAGACGTCTGTCTTCTTCCCAGGGCTGATGTCGGAGAGAGTTAATGCCTTCAGGGCCTAGAAGTGGCCTTGGCCTGTAGTGGGTGCTGTGGGCACCTCCAGGGTTCCCCTGGACAATGCTGCCCAGGCATGAGTCTGAGGTGCTCAGCTGTCTTGCCTGATCCCTTCAGATCATGTTGTCACCAGAAGCACGGAACACCGTGTGGGTGTCCTTTGACGGGCGCAAGAGGCAGGAGATCCGCCATGGAGACAGGTGGGTGGGTGCGGGGTTGGAGCAGGGCGGGGGTTAGGTGTGCCCACCTGCTGCCTCGTCCTCCTGCCAGAGTGACGTGTGTGGCCCTCTAGGTGCAACTTGTCACCAAGAGTTCAGAGGGGTCCTTGTCACATCAGGGCCGTGCCTGTCACACAGGTGGCTGCGTGTAGCCTGTGTCCTGGGCCTGGTGGAGACTCAGCTCCTCGCTGGCCGCTGTGTCTCCTCTTCCTCCCCACCTGCCTTGGGTCTCCTCCTGGGACTGGGGTGGGCTGAGCAGGTCCATGGATTTGTCCTGGGATAGACCACAGCACCCCTGGCCCCGGCCTGGCTGGGGAGCCAGGTCCAAAATGGCTCCTTGCTGGTGAGGGGGCACCGCCCTGGGGAGGGTGCTGGGTGGACGGGGCAGGCAGGCCCTGGGCTCAGTGTGCACATTGCGTCCCCAGCATCAGCATCACCACCTCCTGCTACCCGCTCCCCTCCATCTGCGTCCAAGACCCCGTGAGCGACTGGTTCGAGAGCCTGGCCCAGTGCCTGCACTGGAACGTGCGGAAGCGGCAGGCGCACTTCGCAGACGAGGAGGGCGAGGAGGCCGAGGAGGGCGAGGAGGCCGAGGAGGGCTAGCTGCCAGCCTGCCGCACACGCGGGCCGCTCGCGGGCCTCGGGCGTCACCGCTTCTGTCTAGCAAGGAGCCCAGACTCTGCCTTTTGTCCACCGGATCATCCGTTTTTAACATTTTAAATCTGACCTTTTTTTGCATTTCTGAATAAGCCAAGAAAGCAGCAGCAGGTGCTCTGAAGGCAACAGCGCGCGCCATGTGGTCCGTCCACGCCCGTCCCTGGGCCGGGACGCCAGCTGCTCTTCAGAGTCCCTTGTCTGGAAGCCTCCGTAGATCAGTCTGTTATATCGAGGGGATTGAAATGGATGGGTCTGTCCTTTGGTGTTGAAAGTGTCTCACAGCCGGAAGCCCTCCAGCCACACGCCTCCCTCGCGCTTCACCCCTGAGGTTCGAGGGGACATGTGAAGGGCACTGGGAAGGGTGCGGCAGCTGCTAGGCACAGGGGCTCCATCCCTCCCGCCATCCCCAGCCTGTCTCCTGCCCCTGCGTCTCACCATGGCCCGTGACGTGGTCAGTGAGCCTGGTGCTGACCAGGGAGGTCAGCCCACACACATTCCTCACCAATCAGAGTTGGCCTCCCTCCCTCCCGGAGGGTCTGGAGCCTCTTGCGCCCTGACGTGCTGGCACAGAGGTCCTGCTGGGCACGCAGGGGAGGGTCCCAGGGAGGGTGTATCCTGCTGTGAAGCGCAGTCTGTGCCGTGTGCCTGTGTCCTGTGTCCTGTGTGTGTCCTGTGCTCTGTGTCTGTCTGTGTTATATGTCTGTCTGTGCTGTGTGTGGGGCCATCTGTGCAGCCCGTTGGGGAGCCGTGAGCCTTCGCAGTTGTCACAAGATGGGGACAGACAGGTCACTGTGGAGAGGGTGGTGGTGTTCGTGTGGCTCCTGGGGCATCAGGTCACCTATCCTTCAGCGGTCGCCCTCCCTTGGCTAGCGGGCTGGGGGCAAACAGCATGCATGTGAGAGCCACACGGCCCAGCCTGTAGGGAGCCCACGGTCGGAGCCACGGCTCACTCTGGACGCGGCCTTGGGCCCCTCACCCAACAGGCATCCGGAATCCGGGCCTGTCTTGAGTCTTGGTTCCTCTGAGGGGCAGTCTCATCTGCTAGACGGGAGGAGGGCGGGGCTGACGCCCTCAGTCTCCCCGGAGCTGGCTGTGTAGCCTGAGCGCCATGCCGCCATCTCTGCCCACGTGTGTGGTCCAGTGCTTTCCCCACTCTCGTCCCTGCTGAGGCCCCTCGGCATCTGGACCTCAGTGGTGCTTGGCACTGGCCTGGTGTGGGGCGTGGGGGTGGGCTCTCACCGCCACCTGCCCACCCGCTTGGCTGGCCAACCTCCCTCTGGCACTGGGTTCAGAAGAAGAGCCTTTGGAATCCGGCCACTTGCTGAGACATGGGTGTCGGCCCAGCCCTGGAGCAGCAGGATGGGATGATCTAGAGAGCTTTGGACTTTCTTAAGTAAATTCTCGATGTTTCATATTGTTAATATCCTAAAAATTTATTAAATGTTGAAAGCCTTACTACTATTTTCAGATCCTTTCAATAAACATACTTGTTTAAAAACTTGGGTTGAGTGACAATTTTATTTGGTTCTTTGTAAACAATTCGGAGATGCTGAGGGCGGTGGGCTGCGCCCTCCGGAGTCCATGAACGCCCCCCCATGTGCCCTCAGCACATGGAGAGACGGGGTCCTGCTCAGGCAGCCTCCACATGGAATCCGGAATCCTTCCCAAGTGCCCAGGCAGCCTTGCTGTCAGCAAGGGCAGGTGGGCCCTGGGGCTGGGCAGGTCTCCTCCCCAGGGCTGTGGGTGTGGCCACCTGTCTAGCACAGAGGAGCAGTGGGGGTGCAGGGCCTGCAGAGAGGATCTGCACTGAGGTGAATCAGAGGCAGCCCCAAGTTCCAGGGCCCGCACAGATCCTCACGCAGCTCCATCAGGCCTGTGGGTGGAGCTGTGGGCTGGACCTTGGAGCACCTGCCTCTCTCCCCTGCTCCTCCGGCTTCCTTTGGTGGGTGTTGGGCGAGGCTTTGCACATCAAAGTGGGTGCTGCAGTTCTGGCCAGTTTGGCTCAGCGGTTAGAGCGTCAGCCTGCGGTCCAGAGAGACCTGGGTTCCTGCTAAGGGCATGTATCTCGGTTGCAGTTTGTCCCCGGCCCCGGTTGGTCGTGCGGGTGGCAGCCACTCGATGTGTCCCTTTCACATCAATGTTTCCCTCCCTCCCTCCCACTATCTGAACAAAAAAATGGAAAAATATCCTCAGGCGAGGATTCAAAACAAAACAAAACGGGTGCTGCAGATACACACCTGGACCACCACACACGTGCCACTGGCCATCCTCAGGGCAGACCGAGCAAAGGCCCAAGGCCTGCTGGGAAGTCAGGTCGCCCCCATCCCTGTTCTCCCTCGCACCAGCCCTGGAGCTCAGCCTCCCCAGCCCCAGGGCCCACCGCCCTGTGGGGTAAATCACACGTGAGTTTCGTCGTCTGTAGGAGATCCTTTCACACCCGGGCAGCAGGGGCCAGTCGCCCTCCTGCCTGCTGCCCGCCCCTGGGCCCCTGGCCGGGGACTTGGCCCCGCCCCATTTCGGGAGGCAGATGTCTCTGGGCAGTTGGCACGCGCCCCGCAGGCAGCCTGCAGACAAGCAGGTCTGGGCAGGTGCAGAGACACTTGGTGGCACCCATGGCTTTGGGGACCCAGCGGCTGTGAGGACCTCAAGCCGAGCCTGGTCCCATCCCAGGGCAGTGCACCCACGCTGAGACCAGGGGCCAAGGTCTCGAGCAAGAGGGCCTGGCTCACTGGGGGGCATGGGCACTTGCCCACAGGGTCACTCTTCTCCACAAAGGCTGTTGACCTGCAGGCCTTGGACCTTCCAAGCATGGGGAGCCCATCAGAGGGGCTGGGCCGCAGGGGCTCCCACCGCTCGGGACAGGCAGCCCCGCCTGATGAGGCCCGTCTGGGTGGGGCGTCTGTAAACTCCAGTGCCACTTGCTGCTTGCAGGCCCGGGGCCCTCCGCGCCCCTCCAGCCCGGCCCTCCGGACGCCCCGCGGAGCCGGGGCTGCTGCCCGCCCGCAGGGCCAGCGGCACCCCCTTGTGCTCGGGCCCTGGGTAAGAGCGACGAGGGCGGACGCTCCTGCGGTCCTGGGACGGCCAGTCTGAGAACTGGTGCTCGGAGCGCCCCTTGAAACGAGAACTGCTGCTTTCTTCAGTTTTCCGTTCGGTATTTTCTGGCCGTGGGTGACCTCGGCTCACAGAAACCTCGGGAAGTGGAACCACAGGTACGGGGCACAACTGTAGGCCTCATTAGCCGGATTTGCTGTCCCTTGGGGCTGCAACTCAGCCTCTGGCACCGAGGCAGGTGCGTCTGCCTACTGGGCGGGCCCCCTGGGCCGGTGGTACGGCCCGGACTGTGCCGATGGGCGGATCTGGGTGTAACCCCCTCGACTGGTGGTACGGCCCGAACAGAGACGACAGGCGGCTGAGTGGGCCCCCCCTGGACATGTGGTACGGCCCGGACAGTGACAATGGGCGGATCTGGGTGTAACCCCCTCGATTTGTGGTACGGCCCGAACGGTGACGATAGGCGGTTGAGTGGGCCCCCCTGTCCATGTGGTACGGCCCGGACAGTGACGATGGGAGCCCGAGTAGGCCCCCCTGGACATGTGGTACGGCCCGGACAGTGATGATGGGAGCCCGAGTGGGCCCCCCGGGGCCGGTGGTACAGTCCGGACTGTGACAATGGGAGCCCGGCTGAGGCCCCCTGGGCCAGTGGTACGGCCCGGACTGTGACGAAGGGCGGCCGGCGGTACCGCCCAGACTGGGGCAGTGGCGGCCGTAGGGGCGCCGTCTACCCGCAGTGTCCCAACCCTGACCCTAGGAGCGGGTGGGAAGCCAGGGCACGGGGAGGTCCCGCAGGGCGGAACGGAAACGCCGTCAGCTTCCGGCGCGCCACTTCCGACCCGGAAGAGCACTTCCGCCTGCAGCGGGCCCGCCTCCCCCCATTCCCGAGGCAGCGGACCCGGCCCAGGGGGCGGCCGGCGGCAGCCCCGTTCGTTCTCGGCGCCGCACCTTAAATGCCGCGCGCCCCTGAGGCCCGGACATGCGTCCCAGGCGACCCCCGTCAGGGAGGCGCCGCGCCACCCGCGTGACCAGTTCCTCGCGGGCCACGCCCCCCGGCCCGGCTCGCGGGGTGCGGAGGGTCCCCGGGCCCAGGCGGGCTCCGCCCTCCGCACCGCAGGCCGAGCCCCGGCGCCCCGATGCGCACGGAGACCCCGCGTGGTGGCCTCTCCGGCCGGTGGGTGACGGGGCCCCGGGAGCCCGCAGCACAGCCGCCTTCCGCGCTCGGGGCGGGGCGACTTCCCGCTGGAGGGCGGGTCTCGGGCGCGCTTTCCGGGGCGCTGCGCCTCGGGGGACGCGGGTGGGCCGTCCGGGCCCCGGAAGGCGCCTGGCCCGGCGCGGGCAGGTGCCGTGATGTCCTGTCTGGGTCGCTCCCTCAGGGCGGGCGGCCGAAGACGCGGGATGAAACGTGACCACCGTCGCCTCCGGTGCGCGCAGGGCCCTCGGGACCAAAGTCCAGCCCCGGCCCTCCCCGGGCGCCCTCCCCGGAGCCGTCCTCGGGCCCCGTCACGCCCCTTCCCAGCGCCTGCAGCTCCGGAGGAGCCGGCCCCCCATAGTCCTCGGCCCCCGTACCCCCTCCCCGCCTCGCACGCCCCACCCGAGCCCACGCCCGGCCCGGGGTGAGCGCCCCTCCGGGCCGAGGCCTCGGCTCTGCGTGCGCAGGGGTGGGGGGCGGGGGCCACAGGTGGGCCGAGGGCGGGCGGGTCGCAGCTTCCGGCGTCACTGCGGTTTCAACGCGGACACCAGGGTGGGCACGGCCCCGGGGCAGGTGCAGCCGGTCCCCCCGCCCCGGACCGGAAGGGCACGATCGCCCGCGAATTCCTTGCATTCGGTGATTTTTCTGCCCAGGGTTTTAGAAAACGAAGGTTCAGCCGTGGCTGGTTCTGGGACGTGGTTTCGTAAGTGGGGTCGGTGCCTGCCCGCCAGGCCCGGCGCTGCACCCCCCCCTCGGCAGCGCCTCCTTTGGGCCTGGGTCTGGGCTCTGGGTTTGCAGGCGACCCGCCTGCCTGGGGGGCTGGTGCCTGGGGGGCTGGGGCACGCGGCTCCCCGCTGCTCTGGAAAATAAACACGTTTCCATGGAGAAGGGCAGCTTGGTTCAGCGGCTTTTTAAACGTTGGCCGTGTTTCGGTGGAGCGCGTGGACCTCACGGAGATTTAAACTTGCAAGTGACACCTTCAAGCAGCGTGAGACAGTATCAGCGTGAAAGGGGTGTTGGGAGGGATAGAAAGATCCTTATTTTTCCGTTAATCCTCACCATAGGATATTTTTCCATTGATGTTTAGATAGAGTGGGAGGGAGGGAGAGACACATATGGATTGGTTGCCTCCAAAAGACCCGGGGCTGGGGATCAAACCTGCAACCCAAATACTTGCCCTTGACTGTGAATCAGACCCGTGACCCTGCGGTTCTCAGACTGATGCTCTGACCTGCCGGCTGAGCCAAACAGGCCAGGGCTGAGAGATTTGTTACTTGAAAGAAACCCATTTTCCAGTAGACTTGAGAACATGGAGAGAAGTGAGTCAAAAAAAAAACAACAAAAACGGAATTTTGACAGTTCTTCCACTACACCTCAGCAAGCCAACCGTACCTACGTGGTGACGTGTGCGTGTTCTGCACCACTTGTGCTTTTTGAATCGGATCATGCTGTGCAAAGTTCTCGTACCTGCCCTCAACCCATGACCAACATATTTGTCAAAACTTGCAGGGCTACAGTGTGTCACAGCAGCTGCCAGAGTTGATTACAGACTCTTCACTGGACACCTGGATAGTGTCCAGTTCCTCCGCGTGAAAAACAGAGCTGTTTGAATGTCCTTATATGTACAAGCACAGACCTCTGCTGGACTGTTTCTTGAGGGTGAATTCCCAGACGCAGACTTTCTGCATGGCAGTGTGTCAAGTCCGTAGACTTTCCAAACACTTTATCCAAAATGCTCTGCTGACCGTTTGAACCAGTCTAGAGTCCTTGCCTGGCATTTGAGGACATTTCTTTTTTTTTTTAGCCGAATTGATTGGAGTGACATTGGTTAATAAAATTATTTTCTCTTAGCTGGCTCCAGCCAAACTTTTCTTCAGTAGCGAGCATATCAAGATGAGACTAGCATCCCCATAGCTTTGTCTCCCTGTTAGATCCCAGGCACCTTCCCCGCTGGTCCCGAGCCCCTGCCTGCAAGGCCTGGAGGAGGCTATAACCCCGAGGCCATGGGGTGCGGCGCTGCGGTGTCGTAAAGATGTCTCGTGTGTGTTTCTCACAATGTCACGTTTCAGTGGACCTGGTTTCCTTTTAGCCTTCCACGGGCTCATTCTGAGGATGGGTCCAGGCAGGAGAAAGGTTAGGAGCCAAGCCCTGGCCTAGCGGAAGGGGCTGTTAGCCACCTCCTCCATGCTGGGCAGAACAGTAAAAGCTTGCGGGTTAGGTCTTGTTCTTTGTGCTGTCATGTGAGAGGGAGGGGAGTCAGACCTTTATCACTGGGGTGAGCCACTGCTCCCCGTGCCCCATGTCCAGCCCCCTCCGCCCCGTTTCCAGGAAGCCTCAGGTAAAGTAAGCTGTTGGCTCTTAAAGTCAATTTTTTTTTTTATCCTCAACTGAGGACATTTTTTTTTGCATTTATGTTCAGATAGAGTGGGAGGGAGAGAGGGGGGAAGAGAGAGAGAAACATTGACATGAGAGAGACACATTGACTGGTTGCCACCTGCACGACCCAACCAGGGCCAGGGACAAACTGCAACCGAGGTACATGCCCCTTAGCGGTAACCGAACCCGGTCTCCGGTCCGCAGACTGACGCTCTAACCACTGAGCCAAACCGGCCAGGGCTGAAAGTCAGTTTTACCTTGTCAGATGAGGGCCGCTGACCTTCAGTCTTTTGCAGGAGAGGAATCGTTTCTCACTGAGAAACTTGAACCACGTGGGCTAAGAAAGAACTGGCTGTGGGAACACACGAGCTGGAGCCCGGGAGGCAGCTGTGATTCCGGCCAGGACCTTGGTGAGTAGGACCCTCTGAGCTCAGGACCACCTGACCCCCAGCTCCTTCCAGCTCAGCATCTAAGGCAGCGGTTCTCAACCTGTGGGTCGCAATCCCTTTGTCGGTCCAACGACCCTTCCACAGGGGTCGCCTAAGACCATCGGAAAACACATATTCCTGATGGTCTTAGGAACTGAGACACGGCTCCTCTGTCCGGCTGCAGGTGGGCCTGCCCTCGTGCAGATGCGCCCACGGACAACATGAGGAGCTGTGTTAAAGGGTCGCGGCATCAGGAAGGTGGAGAACCACTGCCAGTCTAAGGGTCTTCACTGCATCCTGGAGTACCCACTGTTTAATTCTGTTCGAGATTTGAACCCCAAGCCCTGGCCAGTTTGGCTCAGTAGTTAGAGCGTAGGCCTGCGGTCCAGAGAGAAAAAAAAAAAGAATTAAACCCCAGGCTACTTTCCAATGATAAACATTGATTTCATTTGATCATCCATCATCCATGTTGCAATGACCTACCTACCTGTGTGCCACCCAGCCCTGTTTGTGCATTCTTGTACGTTACTGACTTTCACTACTGTCCAGTATTACGCTGTGAGAACCCAACCGTGTATACTCAGCTGTCCTGCCGGCAGCCAGCTGGGGGTCGGGAGCGTTGGCCTGCAGGGCCCATGTGTAGGACCTCCTCCAGGGGAGATTCTCTAGTCGGCATTGTGGGTTTGTCAGGGTGTGCCTCTTGTCAACTTCGACTGTATAATCACTTCTTCTTTTTTAATTTATTGATTTTAGAGAGGAAGTGGGGGAGAGAGGGAGGAACCGATTTGTTTATGCATTCCTTGGTTGATTCTTTTTTTTTTTTTTTTTTTTAATAAAAGTGTGGTTTGGGGAAGCACTTTTAACCTTCGTCATGTCAGATGACATATACAATAAAATTAAATTACAGCTCGTGTAATTGAACAAAAAGTAATTTCTCTATATAAATGATTAGTAGGTACCAAAATAGAATACAGTTTTTAAAATGAAATTGTGTATACATAGTTGTGTTCATAAAGATAAGTACACTATGCCCTGGCCAGTTTGGCTCAGCAGTTATAGCGTCGGCCTGTGGTCCAGAGAGACCCAGGTTCAGTTCCCGCCAAGGGCATGTACCTCGGTTGCAGTTTGTCCCCGGCCCTGGTTGGGTTGTGCAGGTGGCAACCACTCGATGTGTCCCTTTCACGTCGATGTTTCTCTCTCTCTCTCTCTTCCTCTCTCTCCCTCCCACCCTATCTGAACAAAAAATGGAAAAATGTCCTCGGGTGAGGATAAAAAAAAAAAAGAGATAAGTACACTAGTCAAAAGCTATACGACATTAACAGCAAATCCAAATGCAAAGATATTCTGAGCTCCACGTTTCACCGAGCATCAAACCACCAGTCTTTAGTCCTTTTCTTGTGTGTTCTTCTGTATCCACATTCTCTGCATCTGTTTGGATCCCTGGACTTTATTTCATTTTCTGTGCGACCTTCTCCACAGATGTATATTATTGGCTGCTGCTTTGGGGGTTGGGTGTCCACTGTTAGACCCCCCCAAATTCTAACCAGCCTATCACCCTACTCACAGAGCACTGACCCCTTGCTTGATTCTTGTGTGTGCCCTGACCATGGATCAAACCCACAACCTTGGCATATTGGGACAATACTCTAACCAACTGAGCTACCCGGCCAGGGCCTGTCAACCTTGAATATAAAATATGAATATTTTACCAGCAAAATGATTTTTTTTGGAAAAAGCAGAGGAATTGTAATTCAGGACATGCAAACTGATTAACCATAGGCCAGTCCGGGAACAGTGGAGTGGAGTGTTCTTTGTTTTGTTTTGTTTTTTATTCTTCACCTGAGGATATTTTTCTACTTATTATCAGGTAGAGTGGGAGAGGGGGAGAGAGAGAGAGAGAGAAAAGAGAAACATCGATGTGATAAGAGATACATGGACTGGCTGCCTCCCACACGACCTGACCAGGGCCAGGGACAAACCACAACCGAGGTGCGTGCCCTTGACTGGAATTGAACCTGAGACTCATTGGTCCGCAGACCACTAACTGCTGAGCCAAACTGGCCTGGATGTGTTTTTTTGTTTGTTTGTTTGTTTTTAAATATGTTTTTGTATTGATTTTTTTTTTTTTTTTTTTTATCTCCTCACCCGAGGACATTTTTCCATTTTTTGTTCAGATAGAGCGGGAGGGAGAGAGAGGAAGAGAGAGAGAGAGAAACATCGACATGAAGGGACACGAAGGGACACATCGAGTGGCTGCCACCCGCATGACCAACCAGGGCCGGGGACAAACTGCAACTGAGGTATGTGCCCTTAGCGGGAACCGAACCCAGGTCTCTCTGTACCGCAGGCCCACCCTCCAACCGCTGAGCCAAACCGGCCAGGGCTGTATTGATTTTTTTTTTTTTAGAGAGAAACATCGATGTGAGAGAGAGACATTGATCGACTGCCTCCTGCTCGCCCCCTAGTGGGGAATGAGCCTGAAATCCAAGCGTGTGTCCTGACTCTGAATGGAACCGGGACCTCTCAGTCCAGGGGATGGCGCTCAACCTATTAAGCCACACCGGCCAGGCTGGAGTGGAGTGTTCTTTATAGAGAAAGGAGGGGGCTGTTTTGAAGGAAATTTCATTGGCAGAGAATGAGAGTTTGGAATTGTGGTGGCTTTTCAGGCTGAGCGGCTGTGGCTTCTCATTGGCTGGGTTGTTGCTAGGTAAGGAAAAAATCTTACTCCTGCTGGGTGTGAAAGTTAGCTGGGGCAACCCCTACAGGGCTTTTGGGGTTCACTCACTATAATCCCCTCCCCTTGAGGGTGGCTGGACCCTAGAACTGGCTCCTAATGGATGCTGGCCAGCAAACACACAGGGAGACCATTTCTGAGATGAGGTTATAAAAAGACTTGGCTTCCTCCTTGGGTGTTCCTGATGCCAGGTTGTGAGCAGCCCCAGGAGAGGCCCGCTGGGGGAGGCCTGCCACTGACAACCAGCAAAGAACCGAGTGATGAACACCAACAACCAGGAGAGTGAGCTTAGCAACAGACCTTCCAGCCTTCAGATGAGCCCCAGCCCCGCTGCCTCGCTGCCCCTGAGCCACAGAACCTGAGAGATCATACATGTGTTTTGTTTCGAGCTGCCAAGTAGGTGTGATGTGTTGTCTACACAGCAGTGGGTAGTTAATACCCTCTGTTTTGTCTTGTTTTTTTAAGGCCTCACCCAAGGATATTTTTCTGTTGATTTTTTTCAGACAGAGTGGGAAAGAGAGAGAGAGAGAGAGACATGGAGGTGAGAGAGACACATCCATTGGTTGCCTCCCGCAGGACCCCAACCAGGGCCAGGAATTGAACCTGCAACCAAGGGAGGTGCCCTTGGTCTGGGATCAAACCTGAGACTCTTCGGTCTGCGGGCCAACGCTCTAACCACTGAGTCACACCAGCCGGGGCATTACTCATTTTTTTAAAATTAGGGAATACTGCCCTGGCCAGTGTGGCTCAGTGGATTGAGCATCATCCCATGCACCAAAGGGTCGCCGCTTCGATTCCAGTCAGGGCGCATGCCTAGGTTGCAGGCTCGATCTCCAGTAGGGGGCGTGCAGGAGCACCCCATTGATATTTCTATCGCGCTCTCCTCCCTTCCTCTCTCTAAAATTAGTAAAAACATATATATTTTTTTAATTTTTTAAATTTTAATCCTCACCTGAGGACATTTTTCCACTTTTTGTTCAGATAGAGTGGGCTGCCACCCGCTCCACCCAACCAGGGCCGGGGACAAGCTGCAGCCGAGGTACACGCCCTTAGCGGGAAGTGAACCCGTCCCCCTGGACCGCAGGCCGACGCTCTAACCACTGAGCCAAACCAGCCAGGGCAAAACATATTTTTTAAAATGGAATATTTTTCATCTTTTTTTGTAATAATGTGTATTTTTTTTATTGATTTGAGAGAAAGGAAGGGACAGGGAGAGAGCGATAGAAACATCGACAACAACTGGTTGCCTCCTCCATGCACCCCCATCACGGATTAAACCCACAACCTGGGCATGTGCCCTGACCAGGAATCAAACCCACGACTCTTCCGTGTACCAGACAATGTTCCAACCACCTGAGCCACCCGGCCAGTATTCCCCCTGTTGTGAAGCTGTTTCTTTACTTCCTGTGTGGGTGACAGCAGCACCTGTCTCAGAGGGTTTGGTGAAGGTCCACTGAGTTAATAAGTAAGTGCTCTGTGGAGATTGCTAATTATTATCACTGGTCCAGAATCGTTAGGTAAGGATCCAGTTTCTCTTTTGGATACTTATGGGTAACAACTCTCCTAGCATCAGAGATTGATAAGGCCTTTCTTCCCGGGAATTGAACCTGCAGCCGGGGTATGTGCCTTGACTAGGAATGGAACCTGCATCTTTTTGGTGTACAGGAAGATGCTCCCGGCCAGGGTCTGGTATTCTTTCTTTTTGTTGTTGTTGTTGATCTTTATTCAAGGATTTTTTTTTTTTATCCTCACCCGAGGACATCTTTGCATTTATCTCCGGGTGGAGTGGGAGGGGGAGAGGGAGGAAGAGAGAGAGAGAAACATCAATGTGAGAGAGACACATTGACTGGTTGCCACCCACATGACCCCAACCAGGATCAGGGACAAACTGCAGCCAAGCTATGTGCCCTAAGTGGGAACCGAACCCAAGTCTCTGCTCCGCGGGCCAATGTTCTAACTGCTGAGCCAAACCAGCAAGAGCTATCCAAGGATATTTTTCCATTGATTTTTAGAGAGGGTGGGAGGGAGGGAGAGAGAAACATTGATGTGAGAGAGAAACATCCATTGGTTGCCTCTTGTGTGCACCTTGACAAGGGTCAGGGGTTGAACCTGCAACCCAGGTGTGATGCCCTTGACCTGGAATCGAACCTGCGACCCTTCAGTGCATGGGCCGATGCTCTATCCACTGAGCCACACCAGCCAGGGCCTGGTATTCTTTTTATTTTGTTTGTTTGTCTGTCTCTATACCAATGTATCACATGACCTGAAAGTCCTAGTCACAGTTCTGGGGGTGGGCAAGCTCCCTCCCCCACTTCCTCCTCTTGGGTAACTACTTCTTACTGATACCCTTTGGACTTCTGTAACCGTCCCTTAGTAATCAATGTGCACCTGGTAGGGATGCACTTTGAGACTAAACAGCCTGTTACTTCTCAGCTTCTACCTGGTAGTTTCATTATCTGTTGGTGATTCTTGGAGAAAAGTGTTAGTAGGATTATTGTGATGGCTGCCAAATGGTGACTTTTTCATTTCATCGGGGTCCCTTTGTAAGGCTCCCATCTATCCATCCATCGTAAGGAAGAGCTTTCTCTTCTTCCTCTTCTACCTGTGGCTGTGCAGAGGCGGGTCCTTGCTTTGTTCAATGGGGTCTTAGTCTTTTTTTATCCTCACCCGAGGACATTTTTCCACTTTTTGTTCAGTTAGAGTGGGAGGGAGAGAGAGGAAGAGAGAGAGACATCAAGGTGAAAGGGACACATCGAGTGGCTGCCACCCACACGACCAACCAGGGCCGGGGACAGACTGCAACTGAGGTACGTGCCCTTAGCGGGAACCGAACCCGGGTCTCTCTGGTTCGCAGCGCTGAGCCAGACTGGCCAGGGCAGGTTCTAAGTCTTTATGTCATTGTCTACTCTGTCTCACTGCCCTCGGACTGTGCTAGAGGCCGTCCCCCGCAGGAGCTCCTGTGTCCTTTTGCCCTGTCCCCATCTTGGTGCACTTCCTTTCTGGGCCACTGGTACCCCAGCCCCAGCATCGGCCATTTCGCCAAGCAGGCTGGATCATCTCAGTGGAGAGACATTTAGAAACCAGGGTCAGGACAGCGGGTGGGCTTGCTGCTGTTGGGGTGCCATTGTCTCCAGGCCCTCTCCGTGGGCAGAGTTGTGAAATAGATACAGAAGTATAGAGACAGATACGTCGTGCACAGGTGTGTGTGTGTATACACATATGTGCATATACATACACACCTCTGTCCATCTGTCCATTCCATCCATCCACCCACCCATCCATCTGTCCATCCATCCATCCATCCACCAACCTCCCCATCCATCCATCCTCCCACCCATCTATCCACCCATCTGTCAGTCCATCCATCCATCCCATCTATCATCCAACTTTCTATCAAAATGCATGAGTTCTTCTACCTCCATTCAGTCTGTCAATGTGAGAAATGTTCAAACCAGTAGGGAATTCTTGTGAGTTTATTTGAGCCAAACTGTCGACAATTATCAGGAAGCAAAATCCCAACTGGGGCCAGGGATTGAACCTGCAACCCTGGTACAGGCCTTGACCAAGAATCTACTCTGTGCCCTGGCCAGTTTTCTCAGTGATTAGAGCATTGGCCTGTGGACCAGAGAGTCCCGGGTTTGGTTCCCGCTAGGGGCACGTACCACCGAAAGAAAAAAGAATCAACCCTGTGACCCTTCGGCCTGTGGGCCAACACTCTAACCGCTGAGCCACACGACCAGGGCCAGGTCTTCAACTCGAGCCACCACCAGCAGGCTGTCGGGTGTGTCCGACCTTCTCCCACGACATGTTTCAGGGAGATCTTGATGCCTCTGCCTCGTGTCTGGGCACCACTGGTTAGGGGTGGGTGTCTGCCCACTTCTCCAGGCAGAGCTATGCTTTCCCTTTGTGGCTGGTCACCCCTTGTGGGGAGATGGTTTGTGCTAAATGCTCCCCTGATTTATTCCTGCGGTGGTTCCTCTCTGGACGCCTGCCTTCGTCCCCGACGCATCTGTGGCTCTGCGACCCGACTGCCCTGCCCACCTCAAAGCTGTAGGACATGCAGTCCATGGCTCTGTCTGTCCCTCCCCCGCGTCCACTGGTGGGGTGATCTGTGCTCTTTGATCCTCACCTGTGGCCTCAGGCCTGAACTGTGTTGGCTCAGGAGCAGGTGGTGGCTGGGGCTGGGCCTCTGGGGTGTGACCAAAGCTGCCCCTCATCCGGAGCTCCCCTACGTCTGCTGCAGCCCTTCTGCCCCCAGATTGAAGTCCGAGGTGTCTGGTGGGGCTCTGGCTCCTGTCCCTGTGGGTGATCTCCGAGGGCCCTTTCTGCTTATTGTTACGGTAGCGACCCCGGGGTGGGGCGGTGCCTGCAGACTTCCTCCGGCCGCCTCTGCCCATCCTGGCTTCCTTGTCTGGCTTCCTGCCTTCAGTCCCCTCCTGCAGGCTCTGGAGGTTGACCAGAAGCCTCGAGTTCCCCATGCAGGTCTGTGCTTCTTTGCCTGTTTAATTCCTGAGAAGATTCTTCTGATCTCCGGCCTGGGGGCACAGCCTGGCCACCTCTTCGGTCCCGCAGGTCCGGGTCCCATCGGAGCCCAGGTCTCCAGCAGCATCTCCGGAGTTTCCTGCATTTCAGCCCTGAGGGTCGGGAGGGGGGTCCTCCGCTTGCCAGGCTTCTCCTGGCATCTCCTTGCCTGTCCCCAGCCTGGTGGGCTTGTTCCGGAGAAAAGAAAACAGTGTGTGACGTGAGGCCTGGCTGTGGTCTAGCACCTTGCCTGGGAGGGTCGAGACAACCAGCGTCCACTTCCATGTTTCAGGATGTCCTGAGCCCTTGCTGCGACTCCAGAGGACTTGGGCCTGCCTGTCCCCTGGGCTGGACGTGAAGGCCAGGTGGGTCTTCGTTCCCAGGCCGTCACAAGGGTTTGTCCATGGCCGGTGGCTGTTTGTGATGGTTCAGTGTCGTGGACAGAGTGGGACTGGAGGGGGAGCGTCTGTCCTGGGCTTGCTGGGCCCTGCTCTGGCTGCAGGGGCAGCGATGGTCCCTGTGTGGGTGGGCCAGGGTCCCTACAGCTGCTGTGGTCCCCGCGGGAAGCCCGAAGGCTGCCCTTGCTTGTGCAGTGGGGCACATTCAGCCCCACGGCCGCCGAGCCCTATTCAGGGAGGCTGCTGGGGTCTGGGGAGGTGCTCACTGTGAGATCGGCTGTGGACGCCCACAGCTCAGGGCATGGGGTACACAGGCAGGTCAGATCTGCCGAGAAGTGCACCACCCGGCCCTCCGTTGGCCTGGCCTATCCTTGCACGTTGATCAGTTTGAAACTGGAATCCATGACGAAGACAGTTTGGCCCTAACAAGTGGGCTCTGGCTGAAACCAGCTGCGATGTCCTGGATGCTGAGGCACCTGGCGCCGTGCTGATGGCGGGATTCTGTGGGGAGGACGGGTGCTTTTCCAAGTGTGAATCTCAACCTTGCAGAACCGCGTGGAAAGGAACACAATGCCTGCCCTGGCCAGTGGCTCAGTGGTTAGAGCGTTGGCCTGTGGATCAGAGCGACCCAGGTTTGGTTCCTTCTAAGGGCACGTACCTCTGTTGCAGTCTGTCCCCGGCCCCAGTTGGGGTCGTGCAGGTGGCAGCCACTCGATGTGTCTCTCACATGGATGTTTCTCTCTTCCTCTCTTTCTCCCTTCCGCTCTATCAGAAGATAAATGCAAAAATGTCCTCGGGTGAGGATAAACAACACCAGAAAACACAGTGCCGGTCCGCATGTGCCTGGCGCTTCAGAGCCGTTCTCGCCACCTCCAGCCCGTGCTGCTCCCAAGATGCGCGGGCCGCAGGCTGCGTTGCCTCTTTTCCAGGATGTTTTATACTTTTTGTGTTTTTGTTTCTAACCGGCGTGTGGCGTTTCAGCCTGTTCGCCAGCATTTGTGGAGCCACGCTGTGTGTTCCCTTCTGCGATGTCTTGTCTCGGGCTGCGGCAGCTTCCGAGCATGGTGGGCACGGTGGGCACAGTGTGGGCGTGGCGGGTGCCCAGGCCCGGGTCAGGCCACTGCAGTGTGTCCCTGCAGACAGACATCCGGGTTGTGGTTCGCGTTTGTTCTGCTACCAGCAGCAAGGGCTGCGCCGACCCCATCTGAAAGCAGATCTTGTGAGTGTGTCTGAAGGACCCGCAGCCCCGGCCAGTGGGTGTCACTGAGGTCAGCCTGGGCCACACAGTTGATTTCCTCTCCTTTCCTGTTCCTTGTCCCTCGAAGTGACTTTTTTTTAAAAAAAACTTTTTTCCTTTATTGATTAGAGAGAGAGAGGAAGGGATAGGGAGAGAGATAGAAACATCGATGAGAGAGAACATTGGCCGCCTCCTGCATGCTCCCCACTGGGGATTTGGCCCACAACCTGGGCATGTGCCCTGACCGGGAATCGAACCAGGACCTCTCAGTCCATGGAATGATGCTCAATCCACTGACCCACACCTGCCGGGCTTGCAGTGACTCTTGATGGTCACATCCTGACTGTTTGGACCTGGAGTGGGTGTTTCTGACTTGGGACCGTCGGTGATTTTGGCAGCACTGCGGGGGTGGCCCAGCGAGTGGGTCCTCTTGGCCGCCACCTGAAGACCAGCCCAGGACCTAAAAAGCCCTGAAACTCAGGCCGCACTGCGAGCCCCAACCTTGCGGCCTCTCCCGTCCGCCTGCTCCTGCTGCTCCTGGCGTCCGCACGCGCGGCAGCACCGGGGCCCACGCTGGCTCCAGACGGACGGTGTCGAGCGGGAGGATGACCAGGTCAGATGATCAGGAACAGGAAATCACCGAGTGACTGACGCCCAGCTTCTCCTTGGAGTGACATGGCCCTGCCTGTGGCGGGACAGGTCACTGTGGGAGCCAAGGGGCAGGACCGCGAGTCAGGGGAGCGGGAGTTCGGAGCTGACACTGAGGGTGTGCAGGTGACGGTGCTCGTCCCAGGCACGTCCAGTGACCAAGCATGGCCACTCCCAGCGCAGGCCCACCAGAAACAGGTGAAAAGCCGCAGACAGATGGTTGGTGGCCGCATGGCCTGAGGGTCAGCAGCGTGGACACTCACCGTGACATACCGCACAGCAGTGACACAGCACTTTGTGTACGTCAAATACAAGGACCACCTGGGTGTCCATCACTCAGTGATTTCTTGTCCCTAAACCACCAACCTTATAAGAACGGGGTGGTGCCGAGTCACCAGGAAGTGCAGGTTTATTGAGGGAAACACCTGCCGGGCTGCCTCCAAGTAGAGCGCAGCAGCCGGTTTGTACAGACTAAGAGTTTTTAAACTTAGGGCTGGGGTAAGGGGTTGCCCCCCGAGGAGTCGTGGTCGTCCTTGATTGGTCGGGGCTGGGGTCTTTCCGAGAGTTGTTCTTCTCGTCCAGCGGCTCTTTAGGTTTGGGTGGGGGTTTCAGGACGCTGCTCCGCCTGGCCGGAGCGATAAGCTTTGGTTTCCTGGAGTGAGGGGCTTGGGGCGAGGTTGAACGATAAGAGGCTGGGGTGGTAATATGGAAGTTAACAGACCTGAGCAGCTGCAACCAGGGTGAGTCGGTCCGGCGCTCGGCACGCGGTCCCGGGCTTCTCAGCGCAGCGGCGTCGGCGCTCTGCGGCGGGAGACACTCCCAGGAGTGTGCACGGAAACGAGCGTGAGAACTCCAGCTCCGTTCTGTGAGGGACAGGAAGGGCCGGAAGTCCTCGGGCCCGAGACTGCTTCATGCTGAGCTGGTTGTCAACCCCGTGGGGGACGCCTGGGCACAGGCCCCGTACCCTGCCACTGGGTCAGCGGGGGAACAGCGGCATCCGAAGGACAGTGACAGACGCCGTGACAGGTCCCCAGAGAAAGCAACCTGGTGGCGTTGGGGCCTTGAAATTAGGACTTGGCCTGATGGGAGGCTTTCCTGAGGGGCCGGCCCGCGCCAGGCTGGGTGGGATCTCCAGGGCCACGGTTCCTGCCCGAGCAGCTGCGAGGATGCGGAACTGGGGCCTGGGCCCCGGGGGGTGGGGGTGGGGTGTTGTGTGGGGGTATCAGTTTCTTCAGCTTGGGGGAGGAGGCATCTAGGGGTGTCTGGGCTGTCTTTTCAGGGCAGTGGGCTGACACATTGATCTGAAAATAAGGCGAATTCCATATTTACACTTTTAGTGGGCGACGAACATTTTTAGGGACGTTGAGTCCCATGAGTAATGTGTTTGCTTTCTTTACCGTGTCAGCTACACCCCTGCTCTCTGCTGGTGGCGTGCTGCCGACAGGACACAGTGTCTGTCCTTCCACCGAAACCACCGCGGCCGAGATAAGGACGCGCCGGCGGGGACATCATGTCGGCGTCCGCGAAACCCCCGGCCCCTGCGGAGCTGGCCCCGGGCTCCGAGGACGGGCCCCGGGGAAAACTGCCCCTCGGCTGGGGCTCTCTGTTCGGCCACCGAAGCGAGAAGATTGTTTTCGCCAAGAGCGACAGCCTCCCCGAGGAGAGCGTGCTCACGGTCACCATCAACGAGACCACCGTCATCGAGTCCGACCTGGGCGTGTGGAGCTCGCGGGCTCTGGTCTACCTCACGCTCTGGTTCTTCCTCAGCTTCTGCACCCTCTTCCTCAACAAGTACATCCTGTCCCTGCTGGAGGGCGAGCCCAGCATGCTGGGTGAGCGGGCCTGCCAGGCGGGCGGGCAGGTGGGTGGGGTGGGCGGGCCTCCTGCTCACCTGCCGGCCCCTCAGGTGCGGTGCAGATGCTGTCCACCACGTGCATCGGGTGCTTGAAGACATTCGTCCCCTGCTGCCTGTACCAGCACAAAGCCCGGCCCTCCTACCCACCCAACTTCATCATGACCATGCTGTTCGTGGGCCTCATGAGGTGAGGGTCTGAGCTCTTTATACACGTCATTTAAAACACTTTCCCGTCACCACAGCGAGCAGCCGCTGACTGACGTCATCATAAGGTGACTGTGGGTGAGTTTTCGAGGAAGAGGTTCCATTTGGGACAATCAGTGCACCTGGTTTTGTGGCTCTTACTGCCACAGACGTTTGATCAGATTCTGTCTGGAACAGCCACGGAACTAACCGTGGTTTGAGATTGTTGTGTCCCCTTTGGGGCAGCGCTCGGGCCACACCAGAGCCTTAGCCGTTTCTGCCGATGGACTGGCCATCTTCTGAAGGGCCGGACCCAACACGGTGTGCGGCCCGCTCAGGCTGACTCCTTGTTGAGTCTGGTGAGGGCTACAAATGGACTGACCCCCCCCCTGACACACTTCCGGCTCATTTTTAGGTTTGCGACAGTGGTTTTGGGTCTGGTCAGCCTGAAAAATGTGGCGGTTTCCTTTGCTGAGACGGTGAAGAGCTCGGCCCCCATCTTCACTGTGATTATGTCCCGGATGATCTTGGGGGAGTACACTGGTGAGCAGCCTCTTCTGGGTCCCTAGCTCACCCCACCCTGCCCACCCCACCCTGGCGGGTCTCTCCCATCCAGGACCCTGGTGAGCTCCTCCGTCTCCCTGCACCCCGGCTGGATGGCACTGGGGCTCCGCACTTCACGGTGTCCTCACCTCTGCCCTGCGGGGCTGCTTGCGTATGCGGGGGTCTTGGGTTGGCACAGGGAAGGACTGACAAGCAGTAACCTCGGTGACGTCCCAGGAAGGCAACCGCTTTCCACCTTGTGAGGGGACGCAGCCGGGAGCTCGCCTTCCCCGTGGAGCCCCGCCTCCCGAGTCCTCCCATCCACCAACTGCTCCCCACTGCCTCTCCTGCCCTCCATCCTCCCCAAGTCCAGCAAATCGGACGAATGCCCACATCTCCAACCTTGACAGGAGCCTGCCTCCAGCCACGTCACACACACCTGTTTCTTGAGCCAGCCTGTAGAGGCAGGTGCACCCAGGTTCCAGGCCAGGTGCAGGGTGATGCGCACACAGTACTCAGCCTTACATAAAGGGCGCTCATACACGCCTCTGCTTCAGTCCTGAAGATGCAAGATCTGAAAGTAGGGCAGGAGCCTGCCCCTGGCCGGCGGGAGGAGCGCCTAGGGGACAGGGACGCTGGGCGCCCACCGGGCTGTTGCTGACCGTGAGACAGTCGAGCCCGGCTGCCCAGCCCCAGAAAAGACTCAGCTGCCAGTGACGGAAACACCACAGTCTGGCTTCCAGGGTGGGGATGTGTTTAAAGAACTTGTTAGGAGGTCTTGGCAAACAACCGAGGTACCAGGACTTGACCTGGGCGCCCAGGGCCACCCGCAGACACGACCAGATGAGTAGCAGCCTCCGGCAGCGGTGTCATGAGCACCGGAGTGGCCTTGGGGTGAAGGCCTCTGCCCCCTAGGCGTGCACCCCAAACACAGAACAGTCCTCCCTGGAGGAGGGAGGTTCCCGTGCTCTCCAGTTTTCATATATATTGTCCGTCATGCAACAGAATTCAGGCCAAGACGGTGGGGAACCACGGGGGACGCAGGTCCCACTCCAGGGTCCCCTCCTGAGCTCTTGGCCTGGCCACCATGCGGGGCCGCAGGTTTGCCAGTGCACTGAGCACTTCCTGGAGACCTTGAGCTGTGCTCGGGCTGCACTGCCTGGGGACAAGGGCATGACCGTGGGTGTCTGAGGGCTGCGCTTCTCTCCTTTTTGCTGAACACGGTGCGCACATTGTCCATGCTGGCTTTCAGAAGGACCTGGACGCTGCCTCTGATCACAGCAGGGGTGCCTGTGAGGCACCCTGTGCGGGGGGCACGCTCTCCCTGTGCACGTGGACTTGCACCATTCGCATCACAGTGTTTTAGATCTCAGATCCTGGGCCCTCACGGGGCCTCCCCTGTCAGGCACTGAATCGCACACTCACCCCCAGTTTTCCCTCTTTTTAATCCTCACCAGAGGGCATTTTTCTATTTATCATCAGATATGGTGGGAGGGAGGGAGAGAGAAACATTGACGTGAGAGGGACACATCAACCAGTTGCCTCCCACATTACCCTGGTGAGGGCCGGGGACCAATGCAACCAAGGTACCTGCCCTGGACCAGAATTGAACCTGAGATTCATTGGTCCGCCGCTGGCCAACGCTCTAACTGCTGAGCCAAACCGGCCAGAGCCAGTTTTCCCTTTTAATAGAATTACCTGGAGCTCTCTCACTCCCTGTGCCATTTGCAAGTGAGGACTTGTGGAGCCCTGGGTGGGGGCGCTGTCCTCAGGAGGGGCCGGCTCTCACTCCTCCCTCCCCCTCCAGCACAGGGTCCCGTGGGCGTGGTTGGTTCTGAGTTCAGGTGAGAGCCCTCTGCTCTCCCGAGGGGCGAGCGCTGCTGTGCTCCTGGAAGTACGTCCCCCCTGTGCTCGGGCCACAGCCAGGCTCCTATCTGTTCCATCCTCTTCAGGGTTGCTGGTCAACCTGTCCCTTGTCCCCGTCATGGGAGGCCTGGCCCTGTGCACAGCCACCGAGATGAGCTTCAACATCTTGGGGTTTTCAGCTGCACTGTCCACCAACATCATGGATTGGTGAGTCCTGGGGGACGGGGGAGCATAAGAATCCAGAGCCACTCGGAATTCTTTCCTGCAGCTCAAAGCTGCACACGCCCGATACTGCCTTTTCCTAAACAGCAAAACAGTAGGTGCTCCCGTGGGGTCACTTACTTTAAAGAAAAAAGCCAGAATCTGATTTACGGGCTGATATGCAGAAGCACTCAGTAGGGCCGTGGTTGGCTGACAGTGCTGGAGGGCAGGGAGGGTGGACACTCCAGCCGAGGGACAGCAGAGGCTCCAGCTCCTGTCCAGGGGCAGGTGGCGCATCCAGAAGGCCAAACGGCTCACCTCGGGTTCCATCTCGTGGACAGGAGGTGATGCCCGCTGCCTTGGTGGCTCCTAGAAACACGATGGGCATCCCTTCCCGCCCCCGCCCGCCGCCAGGACACTGCGCCTGCTGCTCCCATTGCAGGACTTCTGTTTACAGGAGCCTCCCTCCAGGTTCTGACTGTGTGGTGGCCTTGGCCCCGAAAGGCTCCTGTCCCTGCTGTCAGCAGCTCCAAAACGCTGGGTCAGGCTCCCGGGTCCGGCAGCTCCGGGAGAGCTGCTCTGACATCGTCCTCCCCTAGGTTTTTGCCCCTGAGAGCAGTGCTGGTCCCTTTGCTTCCTGGGAACAGCTGCTGTCTGACTTTCTCTTTGTCCGTGTGTGTGCTTCCCGCGTGGCTGTCCCGTGTGGGAGTGGCCCTTGTTCTCCTGGGGTCTGTGGAGCCTGAACTGTTCCATTCACTGGCTCCCACGTGTTGGGTGCTGGGCCGCAGCAGTTGCTGATTGAGGGGAACTCTTAGTTCAGGGGGTTTTGTGGGGCCCTTAGAGCCGGGACTGTGGAGTCCTCTAGCACCTAAGAACTTGGAACCTCGGGCCCATCACTCAACTTCTGAGTGCCTCAGTTTACCCACCTGTAAAAAGGGGACAGGCACAGTGCCCTTCACAGTAAGGTGATGCCCAGGAAACACCCAGGTGGCTGTCCATGGTACTGCCCTCATCGTCACCCTTCAGGGAGGCTGCAATTACCCCTTCCACTTGAGGTTCCACACCGACTTCCTGTGTTGACGGGTAACCTCTTCTTTTCTTTATTCTAGTTTGCAAAATGTTTTTTCAAAAAAGCTCCTCAGCGGGGACAAGTACAGGTTCTCGTAAGTATCACAACTCCCTGCCCGAGGGATCCAGGATGCCCAGAGGCCTGGTGCCTCTCCCACTTTGGCTCAAGTGGCCTTTAAAAGTACCCTGTTGCAGGCTGGTGTGGTTCACTGGTTGAGCGTCGACCCTGCACCAGGAGGTCGCCGATTCGATTCCCGGTCAGGGCATAAGCCCAGGTTGTGGGCCTCATCCCCAGTGAGGGGCGTGCAGGAGGCAGCCAGTTGATGTTCTCTCTCGTCAATGTTTCTCTCTCTCTCCTCCCTTTCTTCCTCTCTAAAATCAATAAAGAAAAAAATATTTATAAATAAATAAATAAAAGTGCCCTGTTGTCACCTGGACCAGTTTGGTTCAGTGGTTAGAGCTCTGGCCTGCAGACCCAAGGGTTACATGTTCAATTCCTGGTCAAGGGCATGCACTTAGGTTGCAGATTCAATCCCCAGACCTGGCCGTGCAGGAGGCAACCAGTCAATGTAGACACCTTGATGTTTCTCTCACTCTCTCTCCTTCCCTTCCAGTCTGTCTATAAAAACCAAATGGGAAAATGTCCTCGGGTAGAGAAATACCCCCACTTCCCCATGGAGGCACCTGGAGACTGCCTTTCACTGCCGTGGCTGTGCAGGTCGCCAGGGCACACACGGGCCCTCCGTGTCATCCCAGGGAAAAGCAACGTCTAGTCTGCGTGGTGCTTTTTGGGGCTCTCCCGTGAGTCTGGGCGGAGGCTCAGGTCCCACTGTCCCCACAGGGCCGCTGAGCTGCAGTTCTACACCAGTGCCTCGGCCGTGGCCATGCTGGTTCCTGCCTGGGTCTTCTTCATGGTGAGTTTCGGGGTTGGTCTCCTGGGCCCTGCTGCCTGCGGCCTCAGTGCTCTGGGAGCAGAGTGAGTGGAAGTCCCTGGTCGTGTGGGTGGCTTGGTGTCCTGCTTTGCTGACTTGTGCACAGTGTCCGTGACGTGCCCTGAGGAGAAGGGACGGAACGTGGAAGCTAGGCCTGGTGCGGGTCTCTGAGGTTGATCTGTAGCTATGGGAGTTTCCTGAAATTCTCCTGTGAGGGTTATTAGGCTTATTGATATTTATTTCAAAATAACACATGCCCACTGATAGGATAGCAAACTGGCATTGGGTTGCTTGGCACTTGCTGTCACCCGCAGGTAACCGGGAACCTCCCATTCCCCGTGGATGGTTCCCTGGGACACTGTTGGAATTGCAGTGGCTGGTGGAAGGACCATGCGGAAAGTGCTCATAACATTCCCACCGCTGTTGGTGCACATCCAGCGGTTCCCTGTGGTCACCACCACCATCTCAGACCGAAACCCTGTGCCTGGCAAACATGACCTCCTTACTTACCCCTGCAGGGCCCCGCTGGGCCTGAGACTGACGGGGACCTGGGCAGGTCAGAGACGGAAGCACACAGGTGCATGGCTGAGCTCCATGACGGAGCCCTCGTGGGGAGTGAAGACCCAGACAGGCAGCAGGACTGGCTCACACAGCTGGTCCTCGAACGGTGACTCCGTCAACCTTCGGCTTCACGCCGCAGAGCCCGCCGATGGGTCAGTGAGGACCCGTCAGTGAGGCTGGGCACAGGGGCAGTTGTGGGCAGGTCATAGCCGGGGGAGGGGCTGGAGGAAGGTGAGAGTCCTGCCCTGGCCAGTTTGGCTCAGCGGTTGGAGCGTCGGCCTGCGGTACAGAGAAGGTGAGAGTCCTTGCACCTGCTGTTTTCTGAGTGCCTTTCGCTCAAAATGATCCTGATGCCAAAGTGGTGGATTTGGAAAAACTCTTCCCCTCCCCCTGCCCCTACCCTACCATCTACTCTTCGTATCTGAATCTTACTCCTCAGAACTTCTGAGTGGAGTCACATAGCGTCTGTTCTGTGTCTGTTTGTTTGTTTTTTATCCTTACCTGAGGACATTTTTCCATTTTTTGTTCAGATAGAGTGGGAGCGGGAGAGAGAGAGAAACATCGACCTGAAAGAGACACATCGAGTGGTTGCCACCCACACAACCCAACCAGGGCCGGAAACAAACTGCAACCGAGGTATATGCCCTTAGCGGGAACTGAACCCAGGTCTCTGAACTGCAGGCCGATGCTCTAACCACTGAGAAAACTGTCCAGGGCTGTTCTGTGTCTGGCTGATTTCTCGAACATGTCCTCAAGGTCCGTCCACGTCGTAGTGTCTGTCAGAGCTTCATGTTCAGGCTCAATGATATTCCAGCATGTGTGCGTGTGTGCATGCGTGTGTGTTTGTGTGTGTATGCTGGGTGGTTTCCATCTTTCGTCGCCAGTATTGCTGCTTTGAATGTTGCGGTGCATATATCTGCTCGCGAGCCTGCGTCCACATCTTTTGGGGACACCCAGAGTGGGTTTGCTGGATCCCATGGTAGCTCAATGTTTACATTTTTGAGGAACAACGAGACTGTTTTCTTTTTTTTTTTTTTCCTTACCCGAGGATATTTTTTCCATTTTTTGTTCAGGTAGAGTGGGAGGGAGAGAGGAAGAGAGAGAAACATCGACGTGAAAGGGACACATCGAGTGGCTGCCACCCACATGACCAACCAGGGCTGGGGACAAACTGCAACCGAGGTACGTGCCCTTAGCGGGAACTGAACCCGGGTCTCTCTGGACCGCAGGCCGACGCTCCAACCGCTGAGCCAAACTGGCCAGGGCAACGAGACTGTTTTCTACGGCAGCCACACCGTTCCACAGTCCCGCCAACAATGCGCAGGGGTTCCAGCTCTCCATGTGCCCGCCAGCACGTATCATTTTTGTTGATTTGTCAGTAGCTATCCTGGTGGCTGTGAGTAGTGTCCCACTGGTCTGAGTTGCATCTCCCTGGTGGTCAGTGACGTTGAGCTTCCTGTTGAGAGCGTACGGGGTGTGTGTGCGTGGATGTTTAAAACCCTGGTCGATGCTGTTCGGTTGCCCCCTGGAAGGCTGTTTTCGAGCGCTGGGTCCTCAGTGCCAGCCTGTCGCCCAGACGGCTGGGTGTGTGCAGCTTGCCTCTCCGGGGTGACTGGTACAGGGCATGCAGAGGCCGTGTTCACTGTCACGCAGGACTTGCCGGTGATCGGGAGGAGCGGGAAGAACTTCAGTTACACCCAGGACGTCGTGCTGCTGCTGCTGATGGACGGCATCCTGTTCCACCTCCAGAGCGTCACGGCATACGCACTCATGGGGAGAATTTCCCCTGTGACCTTCAGGTGAGCCAGCAGCATTGCCAAGACAAAGGGCATCAAAGCTGTTTGTGGAGAAGCCTTGAAGTCTTGCTTTTATAAAAGATGCCTGTGATTGCCAAGTGCCATACTGATGACCCTGATCGTGTCTCGTGATGACCAGGCCGTGGGTATTGGTGGCATTTGAAGTACACGCGTAACGTGTGTGAAAGAGCTTTTCAGGGAAATGGCCACTAGAAATCTTCACGTTGGACTAGAAAGTGTTCGGACAGTTTTGAGTCTTGTTCTGCCTGGAACAGACTGGCGGGGAGCTCTTCCGCCTGACGGGCACTGTCACAGGTCGGAAATGCACCGAGTACAACGCAAAGCTGAATTGCTAGTGTTACCTAACTTCAATCCATTCTTTTTTTTTTTAATTCCTCACCCAAGGATATTTTTCCATTTATCATCAGATAGAGTGGGAGGGAGGAAGGGAGAGAGAAAGAGACAGAGAGAGACATCAACATGATAGAGCCACATCGACTGGTTGCCTGTTGCATGACTTGAACCAGGGCCGGGGATGAACCGCAACCGAGGTACATGCCCTTGACCGGAATCAAACCTGCGACTCATTGGTCTGCGGGCTGATGCTCTAACTGCTGAGCCAAACCGGCCAGGGCCATTATTATTATTTTTTTAATCCTCACCCAAGGGCATTTTTTTTCCATTTATCTTCAGACAGAGTGAAAGGGTCAGAGAGAAAGAGAAACATCGATGTGAGAGATACACATTGACTGGTATACAGGCCCACACAGGCCCCAGGGCTGGGGACAAAATGCAAGTACGCGCCCTTAGCGGGAACCAAACCCGGAACTCTGGTCTGCAGGCTGATGCTCTAACCGCTGAACCAAACTGGCCAGGGTGAAACTTTGTTTTTCAGTGAACATTAGGGATGGTTCAAAAAAGACCAAAAAATAGCCCTGGCTGGTTTGGCTCAGGGGTTAGAGCGTTGGCCCGAGGACCAGAGAGTCCTGGGTTCGGTTCCCACTAAGGGCACGTACCTCAGTTGCAGTTTGTCCCCGGCCCCGGTTGGGATCATGTGGGTGGCAACCACTTGATGTGTCTCTCTCACATCAATGTTTCTCTCTCTCTCTTCCTCCCTCTCTCCCTCCTGCTCTATCTGAAGATAAATGCAAAAAAGCCCTTGGGTGAGGATACAAAAAAATAAAAGATTTAAAAAAAGACCAAAAAACAAAACCAATTCCTTTTAAAGAAAATAGGTGGGGTTTTTTGTTGTTGTTTTATTCCTATTATAAGAGCAATACTTGCCCGGCCGCTGTGGCCAGTGGATGGACCGTGGTCCCATGGGCTAAGATTCCCTGTCAGGGCACATGCAAGGGTTTCCGGCTCGGCCCCCGTTGGGCTTGTCCAGGGGGCAGCCAATCGATGTTTCTCACATCGATGTTTCTATCTCTCCCTTCCTCTCTCTCTAAAAAACCAATTAACACTTTTTTTTAAAGCAATACTTTTATAGAAAGTTTGGAAAAAGTAGGAAGGCAGAAAACATAGTTTAAATTCCTTGGAACCCCACGAGACAAGCACTGTCAGCGTTTCCTGTACTTGACACCGACTTGGCTCTCACTGTGTGTGGCTTTGTGCTGCACAAGGTCCCCGGGGGACCCATTTCCTGTCAGCTGCCGTGCAGCTATTGCAGGTGTGGGGGACAGCGTCTCATTCTTCAGAGAGCAAGTGGAGTGATTAGGGTAAAACGTCATAATATCCATAATTTACTTAAGTATATTTCAGTCCAGAAACGAAGCAAATAGGCCGAGTTTTCATGGTTAAGGATAGAAGACAGGCACGCGGCCGCTCAGTTGGTGCCTCCTCCTCGTTTTGACGCCTTTCCTAATAGAATGAGAGAAAGAAGGGGTTAGTGAGCGACTCTGAGAGCTCAGCTGCCACGCTATGGACGTGAGCGTGCCCTCCGTGGGTGGGTGTGGGTGGACATGGGCCGGTGTGCAGGTGGTCACTGCCCCTCTGTCTTGCAGTGTTGCCAGCACCGTGAAGCATGCCCTGTCCATCTGGCTCAGTATTATAGTTTTCGGCAACAGAGTCACCAGCCTGTCGGCCGTGGGCACCATCCTGGTGATGGCTGGTGTCCTGCTCTACAACAAAGCCAAGCAGTACCAACAGGACGCCATGCAGAGCCTGGCTTCGGCCGGCACCCGGACGCCAGAGGATGGCACGGAGCCGCTGGTCCCCAAGGACCCCAGGCTGCACCACTGAGCTCTGGGGCCTCGACGGTTGCCAGGACCCTGAGGACTGCACACTGTTCTCCTGCCTCATGGCCCCTGCCCTCTGCTACCTGCACACCCACCCCCCGGCCAGCTGGGTGGGAAAGTGGCATGTGTGGCCATTGCTGCCCCTTTCTGGGGTTTTCGGTCAAAACCAGCAGGAACTCGGATGGGGACCCCAGGCGTTGGCTTCCTGGGGGGCTGCCGCTGAGCCATTGTCATGTAATGTGAAAACCGCCTCCTGCTGCCCAGCCTGACCACAGCAGAGCTTGGGGCCTGCCAGCCGCTGCATGGCCTTCGCTGGGCATGCAGGTCCCACCGCAGGAGGCCCTGCCCTGAGTCCTCTGGGTCAAAACCACAGGACAACTGTGAAGCCAGAGCTGGGTCCAGGTGCCAACGTGAGCCACTCCCTGGTCAGTGCTGATGGACAGAACCTGTCTACCCCACGCCAGCCATCAGGCCACCGAAGGCACGTCCTGCTCCTCGGCCATCTGGGGCGACCTCTCTGCCAGAACAGAACCAGGACAATGCAAGGCCAGGGAGCCCGGTAGAGTGGGGAAGGGACAACGACACAGAAACAAGGGGCCCTGCTGCTGAGGGCTGGGAGTTGGGTGTCCTCTCCCCACCCCGGAGCCCCCACTTGGGGAACAGTCACTCAGGGAAGGGAAGGGCCCCCCTCCCCCCCGCCAAGGGTCCCTCACCTCTGGTGACTTCTGTCTGTGGAGGTTGAGGATGGACATCTGCAGTGTTGAACTGTGGGCAGGGAGGTGCCAGTATTCCCTGCTGTTCAGGACGAGGCGGCACTGCAGGGTCCCTGCAGGGCACCGTCTTCACGCAGTTGGCTCTCCTGAGTGGAGAGCACTGTCGGGTGGGGAGAACCGTCAGGTGTTTACAGTTTTCGTTATGCTGTTATTAAGAGGACAGTCTATAAAAGGAAACAGGCACAGGCGCCGTGGGATGCGCCATGCATCAGGTCGCCGCCCTCCAAACTGCCAGGGGCTCGGCCTGCTGTCCCTCAAGAGCAGGCGGACGGCCACACGGGTCTGTGTGCCCTGAGTTGGGCTGAGACTCCCAACCTAGTAGGGTTTCTGATGGGGACGTGGTCCACCGCCAGCCAGTCTCTGGGGCTTCTCCTTTGGCCTTTGACCTTTGACCAGCATCGTAGTGAGCCCTGGGGCTTGTCAGAAGCAGCCCTAAGCGATGAGCAGGTCTGGCCCCCTCCCCCCTGGCACCTGCCTGTGGGGACTGCGAGAACCACCAGAGACAAGGACCCGAGACTCGTTTCCCTCCCTGCTGTTCAGGTCCTGGGCTCCCACAACCCGATCCCTGGTTTCCCCGCCGGCTTCTCAAGTGGAAAATAATGAAAAGAGCCTCTTCGGAAGATCAGACCTCTTGGAAACAAAGAGCAATAATTAGGTCTCATTAAGTTCTGCCTACTTGAAAAGTTTGCCGTGATGAGTTAAAGTGAGGCCTTCTAAACTACAAACCACCTTTTTACGAAGCTGACCTGCGTCTGGAGGACAGTGAGATGTGTGGGTGCCTGCTTGGCAAGCTCTCCACTGTGAGGATGCTTCTCGTGGGACTCCCGAGGTTTCTATTCCCTCTCCTCCTTTTCTGCTTCCCCCCAAAGCAACGGAGGAGGACTCGTGGGAGTTGACCCGGGAGGCGGGATGTCACATTGGTCTGTGACGACCAGAGTGAAAGTACTTCTCCCGGGCGCCTGTCCCCGCCCTCGAGAAGGCAGCTGTGGGCTAGCTGCAGACCTGGGCTGTGCACAGAGAAGGGGCACATCTGTGGCAGGACTTCAGGCAGCCTTTGTCGTCTAAGCGTTTTCAAGTATTGTCAGGGATTTCCTGGTCCCACGCCCATGATGAGCCCACCCTCCACTCCTCTGTGGCTGTCAGCTGGTTTTGATTTTCTGAGTTTTTGGACCAGAAACAAAATGAAGATTTTCCTAAGTTATTATAGTAAATGAGGCACTTTCCTGCCAAGCTGCTTTTGAGACTCCTCATCCCCAGCTGTGGCACTGCCCTTGTTCGGGGCTCACATTCCTTCCCTTGGTCTCATCTCCACGCCTACATCTCCCACATCCCGGGCATTCCCAGGATAGCCCTGTGCCGAGAGTCACAACCACAGCCTCGCTTGACTGCTGTCTAATGACTGTATAGACATGGTATTTTTTTAATTAACTTCGTCGAGTTTTTATAGTATGTTCTCACCAAACCGTCTCAGATGTGCGTGCACCAGCGATGCCCTGGGTGTCATTATCCACACTGGGTCACTCTTGTGTCTGTGGTTGTGCCTTTGTAAACAAACACTTGAGCCAGGTTCAAGGCAGGTCATCTGTTCACATCCAACAATACTTAGATACTCAGACATGGTTTTCAAAACTTACACTACTGAATGGCATAAAAAGCTTCTTGTTTTTACTTTTTATTCATTTATGTTTTTTGGCAGTCCTCACCACAGGATATTTTTCCATTGATTTTTTTTTAGATAGCACAGGAGGGAGAGAGTTAACATTGATGCTAGAGAGACACATTGCTTGGCTGCCTCCCACACGACCCCAACTGGGGCTGGGAATGAAACCTGCAACCCAGGTACGTGCCCTTTACTAGGAATAGAACCCAGAACCCTTTGGTCCAAGGGCCAACGCTCTAACCACTGAGCCAAATCAGCCAGGGCAAAAGCTTCTTGTTTTTAAATTCCAATAGTCATTTCTGCATATCAGTATTCAAGTCATCTGCCTTAGAAAGCTGGGAACACCCTTGCACAATCCAAAATGTGTCTTTAATTTTAGGAAAACATGGTGAACAGGAAAAAAATGTCCTGCACAAAGAATGTCAGCCACGTGGAGCGGTGCTTGTGGCCTGTGCTCAAAATACTTTTCCCCAAACCAGTGGTTTTGCTTCCTGCTATGGCATTCTCCTGTGGATGGTCACTTAGACCAGCCCATGGGGATGACAGACACACAACATGGCTTTTTACATCTGTCCACATGATGTGCTATCTCAGGATTGGAAGTATGTTCGCTGTTTCCTGGCCTAGAAACATTAAACAAGGATGTCATTACAGATAGAAATCCTATTTTCTGCTTTTGCCTTTGACCAACGTAAGGGCTTTATTCTTTCCCAAAATGAGTACATGCCCTGGTGGGGGGGCCTCTTCATTTTCTTAGGTTGTAAGAAAGTTCCAGCGTCCCCGATGAATCTGCATTTTCTTGGCTGAGGAGCCAAGAACACGAAACCTTCAACCTCACTGGCTCTGATTCTCGGTGATGGCCTCTGGACCCATGCCCAGATGTCCAAACAGGGTTACAGACTGTTCTAACTGGCAAAGTCTTCTGTTTGGGGTTTCCCCACCCCCACCCCCATATTTCATTTGAGGAAAGTTGGAATTCAGCTGATCTGCTGTTTTAAGACTGTTCACTGCAGTCTGAGTTGGGTCTCGGCCTGCCCAAGTGTTGTGGGCTCTACACCAGGAGGGCCAGTCAGGGTTTTCCCCACACTGGGGAAACTCGAAAATTATATCAAATAACTGTCTACATCAGAGTCAAATAACCTTTCCTTTCTTCCAAATAGAACTGTGTTGAAGTCCAAGATGTCCACAGTGCTTTGTATTTCACCTCTCGGTATTCACGTGACTGGGTCAGTACTTGACAGAAAACGGTTCCGTTGAATAGCTGAACCACTGTTCACTCCCTGTGGTAGTAAGTTGATCCTGTGGGTGCTTCTTGTCCTTCTGTGTACATGAAGCCACGGCGGCAACCGCAATCCATGACTCTTGTTGTGCAAAAGTAAAATAAATGTTCCATGTGTACTCGTCTCCGTGGGTAACTGCGGGCAGGCTACCGAAAAGCCCTGGTGGTTTCTTGCTGCAGGCACCAGTTTTCCGTGTCTGGAGTGAAAAAAGGGTTTCCTGTCCCCGAGAACTGGGTGGGGGAAAAGTCCCAGTTCGGGCTGTTCAAAGCCCCTGCTGGGGACCCCGAGGCTGCAGTCGGACTGAGGGCCGTGGCTGGGTGCAGCAGCGCTGCCCGCCTTGCTTTTTAGTTGTCGGTCCTCGCCTGGGGATAGTTTTTCATTAATTTTTTTTTTCAGAAACAGTAGAATGGGGAGGGAGGGAGGGTCGTGAGTCAGACACGTCCACTGACGGCCACCCGCACGACCAGGGCGGGGTGGTATCTGCACCCAGGAGGCCTGGCAGCCGGGACTTCAGGGGCGCTGACTGACTCCGGCCTGCGAACCCCGTCCCGGCTGCGCTCTCACCGCGGAGCACGCGGGCCAGGGCTTTGAGCGGATCTGGGGAGCGGCGGCCAGAACCGTGGGCTGCCGCCTGCACGCCCCCACGGGGATCCGGCCGCGCCCCCGGGCCCCTTGACCCACAGTCCGCGCCTCGAGGCCCGGCCCGCGCCGCCCGCTGTGCCCACTGCCGGCTGCCTCGCTTTTATTTATTTTTCTATTCTCACCCGAGGACATTTTTCCATATTTTTATTTCAAATAGAGAAAGAGAGAAACATCGAGGCGAAAGGGACACATTGCGAGGCTGCCACCCGCATGACCCAACCAGGGCCGGGGACAAACTGCAACCGAGGTACATGCCTTTAGCGGGAACCGAACCTGGTCTCTCTGGACCGCAGGCCGAGGCTCCAACTGCTGAGCCAAACCGGCCAGGGCAGGCCGCCGGCTTTTAGAGGAGCCGGCGGTGGGCTCCGGCTCCGCCGGGCTGCAGGACACCCGCCCGCGTCGACCGCGGGGCAGGGGCGGGCCGCACGCTCACTGGAGCGGCTCCGACTGGCTCCGCTGTGTTGCTCCTCATCCGTCAGCACCGGTACCGGAAGTGACGCGCCAGGCGCGCGCCGATCCGCTCCTTCCGGCCCCGCCCTGACGTCATCGCCGCGCGTCGACGCGGGAAGTAACGACGCTCCTGGCGCGCGCCGGGCGCTGTTTCTCCTCAGGCTCCGGGACCGGCGGCGGCGGCGGCGGCGGCGCAGGGGTGAGTGTGAGTAGCGGCCGGCTCACGCGGGCTCGCGAGCCGGGCGGGCGGCCTCCCCGCTCCCTCGTCCCGTCTCGCCCGCGTGGAACTTGGGGTTGAGGAGGCGGCGGCCACGACGCTCCCCGAGCCACCCCCGCCGGGTTAGCGCGACCGGCCCGCAGGAGCGGGGGCCCGCCGTCCGGGGGCACAGCGCTTGCCGGGCCGGGGCCTGCGGGCTGTTTGCTGGTCGGGGAGCCGAGCGCGGCGCCGGGCCCCGAGCGGGCGGGAGGGCCGCAGCCGGCGGGCGTCGCTCGGAGCCCGGCGCCCCCCTCTCTGCGCCGCCCCGCGCGCTGACGCGGCCCCGTCCCCCGAGCCCTCCCAGCCCCCCGACCCCTCCCAGCCCCCCGACCCCGCGCGCTGACGCAGCCCCGCTCCCTGGGCGCCCCCAGCCCCCGGAACCTCCCCCGCTGACGCGGCCCCGCCCCCTGGGCTCTCCCAGCCCCCCGACCCCGCGCGCTGACGCGCCCCCAGCTCCCCGCCCCCCGGGCATTCCCAGCTCCCCGACCCACCCCCCAGCTGACGCGGCCCCGCCCCCTGGGCGCCCCCCAGCCCCCCGAACCCCCCAGCTGACGCGGCCCCGCCCCCTGGACGTCCCCAGCCCCCCGAACCCCCCAGCTGACGCGGCCCCTCCCCCTGGGCTCCCCCAGCCCCCGAACCCCCAGCTGACGCGGCCCCGCCCCCTGGGCGCCCCCAGCCCCCCGAACCCCCCCAGCTGACGCGGCCCCGCCCCCTGGGCGCCCCCAGCCCCCCGAACCCCCCAGCTGACGCGGCCCCGCCCCCTGGGCGCCCTCAGACCCCCGAACCCCCAGCTGACGTGGCCCCGCCCCCTGGGCGCCCCCAGCCCCCCGAACCCCCAGCTGACGCTCCCCGCCCTCCCGTCCCCAGTGGCTGAACTCCAATGGGTGATGAAAAGGACTCTTGGAAAGTGAAGACCTTAGATGAAATTCTCCAGGAAAAGAAGCGACGGAAGGAACAGGAGGAGAAGGCAGAGATAAAACGCTTGAAAAATGTAAGCCTGGTTGTTTACGTAACGGGTTTTCGTAAAGGAGATTTAATTTCTTTGCCCTCGTTTTTCCATTAGAACAGCGCTCCTTCGGTGAAGTTGCTCTGTCCTTCCAAATGTCGCAGGTGAGCCCAACCTCTGCCCGAAACCCTAACCCAACCGTCCGATGCTCGGTTCACCCTGGAGGCAGGTCGATAACACACTAAAGCTGCGTAGGTGGCAGTGTCCACGCGGGGAGTGAAGTATTTTGAGCCTAAGACCCTGAGTGCGATTGGACTAATTTTTCTCACTGAAGTAGTACGACCGCGATGCCGTCGCCAAGCGTTTTTAGTGCGGTAGAAATTTGCCTTGAATGGTGGTGGTTTGCGTCTTCCTTGGTTTGCATAATAACATGCCCCGGAAACCTACCTTCCGGTGACCCGATAAGGGGCATTGGCCAGAGCGGGCTTCTCCGATTAGCCGCAGCCACAGGATCAGTATCGGGAGACGTGGCAAAGTGCGTCCTCTGCAGAATGTGTTTCAGGGCTCGGTTTTGGCTCATAAACAACTAACCAACTTGGCGTAGAGGCTAAAGCCCCTTGTTGTAGATGCTGGTTTCACATTTTCAGCTCAGGTTCTGGGTTACAGAGAGCTGTAGTTCTAATGTCGCCGGATTTGAATGCAAGATTTTTTTGTATTTTAAGTATAAAATTTTTCTAAGTAAAATCGCGTTCAAAGCGTCTAATGTGAACGTTTGGTTTGGGGTGTTGGCAAGGTTTGGCTGTCATTAGAATGCTCTTACCCGTGAAGGAAACGACTTTCTCCTTGCTTCTTAGTCTGATGACCGGGATTCCAAGCGGGATTCCCTTGAGGAGGGGGAGCTGAGGGACCACCGCATGGAGATAACAATCAGGAACTCGCCCTACAGAAGGGAGGATTCCATGGAGGACAGGTGAGAGAAGGTGCTCGGCCAGGAACGGCACCTGGCGGCAGGTGCGCGTGGCCAAGGAAGCAGGCTGGGGGCAGTGCGCAGCGGCATCTTGGCTGGCCTTTCTCTAGGTGCTCGGGGAAAGGCAGTAGCCAGGACTCGGTTCGCCATCGAGATGGGCTCTGTGCTGTGGGGTGTCAGCTCACCCCTCTCCTGGAAGGAGTGGGTGTACTTCCTCTCTTTGTGGTGATTTGTCTTTGTGTTGTTCTTGTTAATCCTCACCCGAGGGCATTTTTTCCATTGAATTTTGGGAAGAGTGGAAGGCAGGGAGTGGGAGAGAGAAAAACCAACGTGAGAAAGACACATGGACTGGTTGCTTCCCACACGATCCCAACTAGGGCTGGGGATTGGACCTGCAATCCAGGTACATGCCCTTGACCGGGAATTGAACCCAAGACCCTTTGGTGCGAGGGCCAGTGCTCTAACCACTTATCACACCGGCCAGCAGGGCTTAGTGCTTGTTCTTCAGTCGAGGCAGCACTGCATACGTAGTGTGTGTAAGTAA